TTACTACAAAGATTTGTGAATAAAGGTAAGAGAGACAATTACATTCGACTACGAATAGTTTTAAGTAGATTTCTCAAATTAGGGTATTCAATAGCCCAGATTATTATTGATTAACTGACCTTGAGGTTGGTCAGGGGAGGAGAAGCGGTTGAAGATATTTATTTTGTACTCATAGCTCCGGTTTCTTAATCCGACAATGTAAATTCCTAGAACTTGGATCAATATAACTTGCTCCACAGGAGCAGTCGAATTGATATATATATATATATATATATATATATATATATATTGTATAGATGAAAGGTTTTATGTTGATATACTTTTTAAACAGTCTTATCAGAATAAAGAAGAATGACATTAGACTGTCATCTTTGTAATATGTGACGACGCTTTTCATCACGGATTGATCGTTTTTGAGAAACCATTAAAAACGAAGATCAGTGAAAAGTTACTTCAGTTAAATTTGGGTGTTCTTGGTATTACTCATCATAGATTATGCCGCAGTTTAAACAAAAGACGTTTATTAATCGAGCCTGAGAAATTACCTTAAAATCGGGTTGTAAGTGCGTGCTGCTTATGTGTCAGAAAAAAAATTCCAATTCACTTTGACTTACAAGATAGATCCCTCAATGATGCAAAGCCTAGACAAAAACTTATCTAACATTGAATTAATTGATCTAACGTACTCAACCATTTTAATCTAGTTTTGTGTCAATCTATGAATTACCATTAGTTAACACTCAACAGTTGTCAGCACTTAAATAAAACCTTCTGAAGGTTTGTTACTTTCATTTAAAATAAACATATTATTTTAAAACACAAAATTATAGTTTACTCCATGTAATTGCATTTTACAATTAAACCTGAAAATATTAATCATAACCAAAATACAATATTAGTTGTGAATTCATTTAGTATTGTTTGTTTGAATCTTCTCATTGATGTTTAGGACTGCAACTGGTCAGTCCCAGAGTGAACATCAACTCTGAGATGCAGGTACATCCAGCTGACGAGCACTAAATAGGACGAAATGCGCGTACTGGATTCCACTGCTAGCCACTATCCATCTTTCCTTGTAATATTAGTTGTATTCAGAGATAAGATTTTATCTTGGGTGTATGAATAATACTCTCAGATTAATATTAATGAACAAACAATGACTAAATAGATGATTCAAAATAAATGTTAACAATAATTTAATTGGATTTATATTTTTCTGCTTATTAGTTAATTTTCTCTTTATTTAAAAATACTATGTGTTATAACGTATGGACTCGTTAATATATATGAACGTGCAATGATACAGAAAATACGTACGACCAGTCTTGGGTGCTATTCGGTCCTTCCTATCTGCCTTGCCCAGCCGTTAAGTCCAGAACACAAATAACAGCCTCAGCAATATGAATCATTATTTACAAGCATACTGGGTTATATATACTAACCAAACAGACCACATATATCAAAAATAGAAAAATAACATTTGTACAGTAATTGGCCAATGTGGCTGTAGCTAGGGGGAAAGTAATCAATAATAATAGTTCCAAGGTCAAAATAAAGGTTATGATAAGAGGAACACGGAAACGATTAGGTCACTTATTTAACAACTATCCAATAGGGAATGGGCATATTGTATTTGTCCATAAATAGACCTCAGATTTAAGTCACTTATTTAACAACTATCCAATAGGAATAGGCGTATTACATTTGTCCATAAATGGACCTCAGATTTATGATTCATAATTCGCCAGAGGATATAACACTATGAATATGTTAAATGTATACTAATAGTTTTTGCACAAATCACAATTTAAGGTAAGCCAACAGTTCTAATCATTTATTACTGGCTATAACTGTCGAATAATTCTTTGAAACACATGATACATCATCTTAATTTTCAAGTCATTTTGACATTTCTCAATTAGTTAAAATAGAATATCATTAAACTAATAGGTATTTGATTGCAAGGGTTATAAACGATGTATTTGGAAAGTGAAGTAAAAACTATTATTCACAAATTGACAGTGTTCTCAAGTAACAATTCTTGGATATTTTATTATAAACATTCGTAAATATTTATTGAAATATATGATAACATGAAAATGCACAAGGAGCTCATTCTGAAGCTTCCTAACATATATTTTTCTTGAAAAAGATTATGTATTTCTACATATAGCTTGCAAGTTTATTCTGCAAAAATAATTGACGGTTCATCAAAAAGTGTATCTTCACATATTCATTTGAAGTTTTTAGTGAAGAGATAGGATAATTCAACAAATAATGATTAACATGTATCGGTGAAACAGTTGGAGGAAAATAATACTGATAAGCATTATCGTTGATCACATCGTGCCACTTGAGTAGTTTGATACCAAACATGTTTGTTTAATATTTTAAAGTAGGCAAACCAACACTCATTATTTTAATCATCAAATCTATTTCATATGATCGCAGATTAACTATCATGAGAATTGATAAGTATATGATTACAGAATGAAAGGTTGTAGTATTCTCTTCGTTCTTTAATGTAACAACGTTGACAATCCTAGTAAGCTGAATATAAACATCTGATAACAATGAATAAATTTTGACCCAAAAGAAACTACGAACACTTATCACTCATATGCGCAGTTTGAGTCATATATATTTTCAAATTACCAATCATCAGAGTTTATTTTATTTATCATACATGATAGTAAGCAACGTCACTGCTTCGTTAATTATTTCAAGTAAATGTACAAGATTAATCTTGAGACATACAAGTTTCAATTCGTTGTGTTTCTTTCTATACAACTAGTTTATGAAACGACGAAGCTATAAGTGAATGTCACTATATTGCAGTAGATTTTATTTATTAGATATACCTTAACCATATTCATAAAACAACTCTATTCTATAAAACTAACATTTTTTGAGAATTATACCGTTGATTATTAATGATCACCATGTTAACTAACTTTACTACCCATAATAGTCATAAAAAAAGAGAATTATAGACAAACAAACCGGTTATTTTGATGGTATATATATATGTGTATATGATTACTACATCAAAATGAATATGAAAACATGAAGATAAAAATAAAACAGGTATATGATGAGCAAAAATTGACAAATATGCATTTCAGACACAAATACATAAACATAGAAACTAATCTAATGGAACAAATCAAAAATATATCAAACTTTATAGTCAGTACATATAACGAAAGAATATCACAATGTGTGTAATATATATATATATATATATATATATATATATATATGCAGAGACATAATTATTAACCAGATTCAGAAAATAATCTTCTACAGAAATTCAAAATTATTTTCTGGTGAAGATATAACAGAAGTAATGTTTGTAATTGTTTTATTACCTCTACAAAGGTAAGCAAATAATCAGTCTATACTAGAATAATATGAGGAATGAAAATTAACGATGAAAAAGTTCATCAGCAACGTTTATACATAGATGCACAATAATACAGGTATATTATGTATAGAGAAAAGAAAACAGAAGTATATTAAGCTCACTATTAAGCGTCTCAAGCGTGTAATAACTAAAAATGCACGAAAATCAAGTGCGAATAATTAAAACAACGAAAACAATCATTTTGGGAGATGTTGACGAACACGCACGCACATAAGGACACATACAGACATACATAAATTAGGCAAGTAAAATGTATTTTTCCAAAAGTAAACAGTGGAAGATAAACTTTGTCAACTTTTAAACTAAACAAAAATAGTTGTCAATAAAAAAGGCAAAACAGAAAGAAACAAACATGACTGCATAAACTATGAAAGTATAAAATAGAAATACAAAAAAAAACAATCACGATATGATAATGATCGAATATATGAATATATCACATACTAGAGTGTATCATACCTAAATCAGTAAAATTAGACGAAATATCTGTATTTCATATGCTCACATGCATTTCATATTTGTATCAGTATGTGCAAATAATATGTTATAATAAGTGTAAGTTCGTGCTAATCGGAACTAGCCTCCTAATTAGAAAAAAACAAGTTACAGACTGAATGTATACAATATTCGTTAATGTAGAATGAAATCAAGATGGAAATTAAAAATGTGAGAAAAATATAACATTTCAAACTGTACGTCCCTTCTTTTTAAAAATATATATGCAAAGTCAACAAATTCCAAGCATTTGTCTAAAAAATTTCGACATTCAAAGGACATTACTATTATCATATAAAGTAGTTTGACAATGAATAATAATAAACAACAACAGCAGAGTCAGTCCAGACAGTAATTATTACGAACAGCATTTTAATGGTAGCGGTCATAATAATATTTATGGTAATCTTCCGATTGATAATCACACTATTGTAAACAGAATACTCAACAATTACGAATATATACGTCCTTTTTTACCAGTCAATTACAATTTCTTGGACAGAAAACTTCCAGCTGATAAGTATTAGAAAAAAAGTTATGGAAAAAGGAAGAAAAAGCGGACATCATATCACATGATTTATCACCAAACAAAGATTCTTAGCCCGTAATAAGTATAAGTTTGTGCAAATAATACGACACATTCACTAACCAAAGTACTCATTTAATTGAATACACAGCAAAGTATAGTTCAATATAACAGCTTAATATTATTATTTCAGAAATAAATATTATGACATAGAAACAGATACAGATACTTCATCAATTATGACAATAAAGACGATTAAACATGTAGGTTTCAATCGATTTCATTTAGACAAATATTAACAATCACAAAGAGTAATTGATAAGTGATACATACAGAAAATAAGAAAGACGTATTATGAAATGATTATATAGATAAATGACAATGATTAAGTAGTTGTTTCATCAAATTAAACGTAGAAAAAAGAACACACTGAAAGAATTTAGAAGAACACATGAAAAAATAAATTAGAATTACTCGGACTGTTTAAGATATAAATTTATAGAATTAGGATTAATTCAAAACATTGTTTCTTTTGTATCTCATTCAATCAATTTAAGGATTAATATAGGACATTAGAGAGCTAAACCCATTAACTATTGACATTTTTAATGGTGTATAAACATATTCTTGAAAATTATCAACCAAAAAATTATGACGAACAGTTTGATAGAAAACATTTTGATCATAATGATTCGATGTAGTTGGTGTAGTTTCTAGTAGGGCAATAACACCGACTAGTACAACAAACGCTGTTGCAGTTAACGTGATAGCATATGTTTGAATTGAACTTCTATGTTCATTATCATGAGTATGTTCTTGTTGTTGTTGACAATTTTCCTTCAATGTATAACTATGAACACTAACTGGTGATGTTTCACCGTTAGATGTAATTAACTGATAGTTAAATTTCTTATTAGTTGGACCATTTGCGCAAACTTTAAAATCATCACGTATTCGAACAGCTTCACCATTCGACACATGAATATAAGTCTGAATTTTCGATTTGGTCAATTCATCTGGTTGAGATAAATTGCTATGATGATCTAAAGTTTTATCTAAAGCAATAACTGCTTGTGTATAATCAGTTGATGTTAGAGTACCATTTTCTGTACGTTTACGAACAACCATATTTGGCTAAACACAAAATATGTAAAAAAAATATGCAATTATCAAATGATTAATTGAATGAACAAATTAAACGATCGTTAACTGTATTAAAATGTAATTAAACAATTTTTTTAAACGTAGAAAATCATTTAATTTTCAAAGTAAGATAATGAATAGTGTAGGTAGTTCTATACCAACAAGATAGATTTTGACTTTTTCACTTAGAATTTTACAACTGAACACTGCATAAATAGTTATAATACGACTGTAAACTAACAATCAATTATTTAATAACTGATATTGTTAAAATGTGCCTGAATCAACTTATTAGTTCTGTTCAAAAGAATTTCTCTAATGATTAATTTATTTAATGTCTTAGAGAATAAAAGTTTACAAACTGGTAAAGAGACTAATTCATCATTATTAATTTTGACAACTCCGCCTGTAGCCCATCCGGAGGCTACTACATGTCCCAAGCCCGGATAAAGGAGGAGGGTTGGACATAGGGTTAGCTACCTCATTCCGTAGAAAACTAACTCGCTAGAAAAATTAACCAGAAAATATTATTCAAACCATTTAAACTCTGTTATGTGGGTTGGAAGGTCTTCATTTAGAAGAGTTATGACGCCTCATGGTGAATGCCGAGTCCATTCGAAAGCCACGAGATTGATACCCCTTCTGACAACCAGAGCAAACATTATTTTTTGGTACATGGAATGTCTGTACAATGTGGGCGACCGGAAGAGTCTTCCAAATTGCTGCAGAAATGGAATCAGTGAAACACATTGCCCGCAGGTTGGACAACAAAGACTATCTTCAGGGGAGCTGCTGTTATACTCCGGCCATGAAGGAGAAAATGCCTAACATGCACAAGGAGTTGCATTGATGCTGTCCAAGCAAATACAAGAAGCACTAATAGGATGAAAATCCCATGGACCAACGGGCATCAAACCTCCTTCAAAACAAAGGAAGAGGACATTACAATCAACGTCACCCAATGGTATGCGCCTGCGACGACTACAATGAAGATGCTAAAGATCAATCCTACGATAAGCTGCAGTTAGTTGTCGAGAAGTGCCCAACAAAGGACTTGACGATTCTGATCGGAGATTCAAATGCCAAGGTTGGAATGGACAACACTGGATATGAAAACATCACGGGACGACATTGGCTGGGAAAAAGGAACGAAAATGGTGAGAGATTTGCAAACCTGTGTGCCTTCAATAAACTGGTCATAGGCAGCACTATATATTCCCACATGAACGCAAACACAAAGCCACATAGACTTCGCCGGAACACACCACGCAGAACCAAATCAACCATATCTGTGTCAATAAAAAGTTCAGAAGGACAATGGAGGACGTGAAAATCAAGAGAGGAGCTGATACAGTATCAGATCATCACTTGCTGGTAGCCAAGATGGAATTCAAACTTAAGAAGCACTGGACAGCGAGGTGTACAACATTAAAAAAGTTTAATACGGCTTTTCTTCAAGACACTGACAAACTCAACAAATTAAAAATAGCCCTCAACAACGGGTTCCCGGACTTTCACGATCTACTCAGTGAAGAGGGAACTACTATGCAGAACAACTGGAAAGAGATAAAAGAGACAATCACTTCAACATGTCAAGAGGTTTCGAGCCACAAGAAGCACACAAGAATCACTGTTGGTACACTGGATCAGATTGAAGAAAGGAGGAACAAGAAGGCAGCAATCAATACCAGCCTAACAAGATCAGAAAACGTCGAGGCACAAGCTGAATACACAGAAGTAAACAAACAAGTGAAGAGGAGCATCAGAACCGACAAACGCAAATATGTGGAAGATTTAGGAATGACGGCGGAAAAAGCTGCAAGAGAAGGAAACATGAGACAATTGTATGACACAACAAAGAAAATCGCTGGAAATCATCGTAAACCAGAACGACCAGTGAAAAACAAGGATGTCAAAGCAATCACTAACGTCAGAGAACAGCAAAATAGGTGGGTAGAGCACGTTAAAGAACTGTCGAATCAACCAGCCCCATTGAATCCACTCAACATCGAAGCAGCACCCACGGACCTCCCAATCGATGTTGACCCACCAACAACTGAAAAGATCAGCATGGCCATTAGACAAATCAAGAGCGGCAAAGCAGCAGGACCAGACAACACTTCAGCAGAGGCAATGAAAGCAGATGTAGAAGTAAGTGCAAAGATACTCTGCATTCTGTTCAGTATGATTTGGGATGAAGAACAAGTACCAACAGACTGGAAAAAGGACTTCTGGTCAAGATACCGAAGAAAGGCGATCTCAGCAAGTGTGATAACTACATAGGCATCACTCTTCTCTCAATACCAGAAGCTGTCTTAAACAGGATGTTGTTAAGCAGAATGAACGACACCGTAGACGCCCAACTTCGAGATCAACCGGCTGGATCTCGCAAGGATCGATCGTGTGCAGACCGAATCGCAACACTACGGATGACTGTGAAACAATCAATTGAATGGAATTCATCACTGTACATCAACTTCATTGACTACGAGAAGGCATTTGATAGTGTGGACAGAACAAGACTATAGAGGCTTCTTCGACACTACGGCGTGCCTGAGAAGATAGTCAATATCATTCGGAATTCCTATGATTGATTAAACTGCAAAATCGTTCATAGAGGACAACTCACTGACTCGTTCGAGGTAAAGACCGGAGTCAGGCATGGTTGCTTACTCTCAACCTTTCTCTCTCTTCTGGTGACCGACTGGATGATGAAGATATCAACATTTGGAGGGAAGCACAGGAAACAATGGACAGCTAGGATGCAGCTGGATGATTTAAACTTCGCAGATTATCTGGCTCTTCTATCACACACGCAACAACAAATGTAGGAGAAAACGAACAGTGTAGCAGCAGCCTCAGCAACAGTAGGTCTCAGTATACACAAAGGGAAAAGCAAGATTCTTCGATATAATACAGCATGCACCAATTGAATCACACTCGACGGAGAAGCTTTTGAGGATGTAAAAACTTTTACATATCTGGTAAGCATCATTGATGTTCACGGTGGATCCGATGCAGATGTGAAGGTGTGCATCGGCAAAGCAGGAAGAGCAGCATATCTACGATTGAAGAACATCTGGAACTCAAAACAGTTGTCAACCAACATCCAGATCAGAATTTTCAATACCAATGTCATGACAGTTCTACTGCGTGAGGCGAAAACCTGGAGAACTACAAAAGCCACCATTTAGAAGATACATGTGTTTACAAACAGTTGTCTACGCAAGAAACTTCTTATCCGTTGGCCAGACACTATCAGCAACGACCTACTGTGGGAGAGAAAAACCCAGATTCCAGTGGAAGAAGAGCTGAAATGGATAGAACAAACTTTGAGGGAAGCGCCCAACTGCGTCACATGGCAAGCCCTCACTTGGAATCCTGAAAGCCAAAGGAGAAGAGGAAGACCAAAGAACACATTGCGCCAAGAAATGGAAACAGACATGAGAAGAATGAACAAAAATTGGATAGAACTGGAAAGGAAGGCCGAGGAGAGAGTGGGTCGGAAAATGCTGGCTGGCGGCCTATGCACCACTGGGAGTAACAGGTGTAAGTAGGTAATTTTGACGTGGACAGTACGGGGTTTGAGTCCTAAAGTGGACACCAACTATGGGATGTAGGTACATACACCCGACGAGTTCCTGATAATCAATCAGGTAAATATTAAAAAATGAATCGATGAAGTATATACATTAGAACGCAAAGTTATGTTAAGATATTTACTAATCAGTATAAACAGACCACTTCCATGTTTTTTGCATATCGAATATCCTAAATTATAAGGAGGGAAGTGTATTTGGATCCCTCCAATATTTTAAATCATTTTGAATTCTTATACATCGCATAACCAAATTTATATTTCAACATCTTAAGCAGATTAAAGAAAAAAACAGTTGAACCGGGATAAATTGTTAATTGGTTGCTAATAAATCTTTTTATGTATCCTTAACATAGAAATTATCATAAGATAAAGCATTTGATAAAAATGGCTGCCAAACCATAACAAAGTAAAGGGAATTAAAGGCATGTAAAGTAAAAAAAACTACTTATGCCTTGAACTTATGTTTTTGTTATTCTCACTCGAATAATACATTTTTTGTTGATTATCAGCTGTCTGAAATTAAAACCGTCACCTACCTCAGAATATTTTTCAAGTGCCACAGGCTGAATATTTATTTTTTCAGCGGAAACTGTTTGTTGAACAATTTGCGTTGGTTCAATCCATGATTCAACAGCAGCTTGAATCACAATGTCTTTCTCATCACCATCTGCGTTACTATGAGAAAGAACAGTATATATATATATATATATATATATATGAATTAGCTTACAAATCATTAACTTTGAAAAACAAGTTGCTTAGTAAGATCCTTGTGACAAAAACTGAAATTCAGATGATGAATATCCGTAGATAAATGCTCTGAACAAAGGTATTAAATTTTTATTACGCTAGAACACATAATTACTTAGGGAGCTTGTTTGGTCGCCCATAAAATCAAAACGTGTAGCCAAATATGGCTTTTCCGGAACCCAATCAATAAACCTATGTTTCACGGTAGATATTGTTATCAAATGATAAGACATTTAGTATAAGGCAAGCAGATATAGCTAGCACATACTCTCTTATCACATAAAAAAAAAGAATCATTTGAGTAAATTTTCCAGATAAATCCTTCTTCAACAGTTCATTTAGAAGAACAATATTGTTAAATCAAAAGCTTCAAGCTTTAATGGGGAACAGCTTGAATATGGGAAATAATTCTTTAAAAATATCAAACAACAAAATATAAACCTCAAATGTACGAGTATCAAGATAAGCGAAATAGATTTGTAATGTAAATACTGATACAGATAATATGTAGTACACAGTTCATTGTGAATACTACACATTTTAATCGGAGAAAAGCGAATATATAAATAATTTAGTGATTTTGTCTTGATTTCAGTGATTTACAATGTGTAAGTATCTTCTTGGTCTGAAAATATGAAATGTAGTGACCTGGACTGATAAAACATTAGCTTTACGAATTTTCTTAACGTTCGAATTCATTTCGCAGAACAAAATGTTAAAAGGTTTGTCAGTAAAAAAAACTTCGGGTGACAGCAAAGACAGAATGAATTAATAATAACAATATTTTGCTAATGGACATGTAAAATACATCACATTTTTTTATCCAAGACTGATATTTTCATGAAAGTTTGCAAATTATTAAGAAAAATCCTCAAGTAATTAAATAAAATTAATAAATATAACAAGAACTTACTTCAGCTTTTTGTCGTTACTAGTGGGTGAAGCTTTAGTATTGTTAAGTAGATCCTCCTCACATGGTTGTTCCACTACAGTATCTGGAATACGTTCTAATGAATCAAAAAATAACAACATATAAACAACCAATTATCGAATACTTTAAAAAAAGCGTGCTATACTACTGTTAAAAAGTGAAGAAAACTGATAATGGTAAGTTTATGAGAAAGAAGAAGACAAAAAGGGAGTTGAAGGAAGGTCGAATGTTTAATTAATTGAACTAATAGTCTTTGGTAATATCCACAAGCCGATGCACTCACTTTAAAGAAATTAATGTACTTGTTATATAGAAAGATGTGTATGCATAGAAAGCATTTTCAAATAAAATGTTAAAACAATATTACTAAAATGAAATCAATTAACGGACAAATTTACGCTGTATAAACACTGACGGATGAGTGATTTGATGACGATAGGCTACAGAAGAATATTGTTTTTAAACAACTTAGAGTTACATGATGAAATGGATATATTGCTCGTATAAGAAAGTAATCTTGAAGAATGCGCAACTCATAAAAATAGTTCTGACTTCTCTCACTGATCAAAAATGAAATTTCCAAGCCATCGGGCTTAATATACTGATAAGGGTCCTCATTTGAAAGTGCAAGATACATTTTTTATATGAAAAGAAGCGGTTTGGTCTCTGTAAAATACAAGGAAGACAGAACAAGGTCGAAACCTGTGTTCAAATTAATAATAATTTAAAAGACTTAAATAATGACCCAGATCTCAAAAGTTACATGGAAAATATTAAGGTGGAAAATTAAACCATGGAGATAGTAAACAAATGCTAATGAAGATAAAGAAATTAGACAAAATTGTTCTATTGACCATGGAAAAAAACGGTCGTTAAATATGTTAGAATTCTATTAGACAAAAGAGTGCAGGCTGAGTGTTTGGCACTAAAAGCATGGTTCATAATTAAACAAAAAGTTCACTGAAAAAACTTCCAGTTAATTTGTATTTATTCTTTAAAAATATCTTGTTAAAAAATTCAGTTTGTTCCACAAAAATGATTGCAAAGCTTATAGTTATATAACTACACTTCAGTAGACATAAAAGTTATGTTCATAAGAAATTAAATACCCTTTTCTGGTATTTTCATTAAACTCAAATGTGATGAGTTTATCTTCTAGTAAAACCGCTGTTAATTAGAAAAAATTAAACTTGTGTATTGATGATAACATTTAATTATGTACAATAGCCTAATATTATATCGAGTTCTATTCATTCTCAATAATAATCCTAGACTGTTCAGCGTGACTTCATTTAAATCATTTGTCCAACCCTATAGCACTTTAAATAGTATATCTTGATAACTATCAAGTAGCTAAAGTTTATTTAAATATGTACCTACCAATTTTCATGGTCTTCAGTCTTAGTGATCTTTTGTAATAATTAATTAAATGTGCACTATTTTGCAAAAATATCCGTTTATTTTACTGATCCAATTTATCTACTGAAAACTACTGTTACACAAAGCTAAGCACTTTAAAACTAAATCTATGATATCTATATTCAGTATGATATCAATTTGTCAGTTAGTTTACAAAAGAACATCAAAAAACGACATCACTTTGTTATTCTCTGGATATTGAAGTAAATATGATTATTAAAGATTATTAAGATGCATAACTTGTTATCAGATCATTACTGCAAGTAATGTGTCATTTATAAAGCATACAACAACATATGTAGTTAACATGTTATACAAACTATTGCAAATCTGTGAACGATATATACATATATACTTGTATACATATATAATTGTAAATAAGTGAACGCAAAAGATTTGGCAATTATTGAAGCGCATACATGTGAATCAAGTAGTTAGGTTATTTAAAAAAAAGGAAGAAAAATTTGCTTGGAATTATAGTTATGTAGTGATAATGGAAATCTAATGATGGAACTGGGAATAACTGAATTTCGGGAGTCAATTATTAAAATTTGAAGAGATCATCAAATTGTTACCCACAAAGATATATGAATAATATTGTACAAATCAGGCAAGTGTAAAATAACATAATAAAGCAAAACTACAACCAGCAAAGCATAAAAATATTAGGCGATTAATCTAACATTACCTATATTTGTATCTGAAATTATTGAGATGTTTAACAGAAATAAAGAATGTGTTAGATAATTTTGTTATAAAAAATAAATATGAAATAATATAAATATATGCCCACATGATAGTTACAAGTATCTGACCATTTATAATCAAGAAATAAACACTCATATACTCAGATGACCATTTATTAGAAGTATGATTTAGATAAGTGAACTGATTCGTTTGTAAATTTGTGAAACAAAATTAATTGGAATGACCAAAAACTGTGTTCAGTTAGTAGCTTAATGTATTGAAACTATAACACTAAATGGTTTATATCTATACAGCAAATAACATGTCATATACTGTATATATTGTAACACATGATGTAAATCATTATGTGTACAGTCCAGCACGTGGTGTTATGACGTCTAGAGTCTTTGTGAAGAAACTAACACCGTTATCCAAATACTTCTGGCTGACAAATTTCAAACACAACAATACAAGCAACTTAGATCTTAAAGTCAGTAATGACCAAAAAAGTAACCAATATTTAAATACATCTGGTATCGAGGTAGGCACACATGGAATCTACATATTAATAGGAACTGATCACTAAACCATAAAATTCTAGCAAATGATTGTAGTGCATAAGGAAAACTTGATAAGATAAACGATTTCTACATTGTCATAGTCAACATAAAATTATCATAAAAATAGTATGATGAACATAATCAATATTCTTTTGTTTAAGAGAAAAAAGTGTACAAAGAAAATATATAGATATCAGATGGATAATAAAAAACTTCTTTTTATAAATCAAAAATAAATCAATATTTTAAAAAAAGGAAAATTCTATCCATTTTTTTCGTTAAAAATCAATTTTACTTTGAAAAAGAACCAACCACACACATGTATGTAAGAGGAAAATGCTATAAACTAATCAAAGAAATAATGTATTAACAGGTAAAACAGAATTCAAGATAAGTGATTCTTATCTTACATAAGAATGAATTATAGTATTCTGTTATCTGTTTTATTTATTTAATAATCACTACTCAATGGATTATAATAAGTAATAATCAATTGTTGATAATTATTAGACGTAATTGTTGCAGAATCTTTAATGAATATTAACAAAGGATTTCAGTTAAAAGTACAGAAAAATAAGTGCGGATATATATTACACAGACAGAAAGTCAAGTTTTTAGGTACTAAGTTTGTATGTGTTACGTTTTCTAATTGAATGCTTATTATTGATCTGCTGGTTGCTTCCTATATTTCTAGATTACTTATGTATTTGAACTTGAAAAATAGAGACGAAATATGAGGGAAAGCTTTACTCTAAGGAAGATCTATCTATAGGAAACCAAGTGTACTTATACGCTTTCGTGTGTTCTTGATTTCTAAGTGACTTCTGAAGACATACTAAATAAAAAAAGTTGAAACATGTATGATATATAGTTATGCAATGAAGATGTGACATATAGTCCTTTATTTCTCTAGGCATTTTTAAAAAGCTTCTATTCAATACTATTTATATAAAAATTTTCAGCCATTTTTAGGGCTTTTACGGACTCTATCAAGAGATATTTTTTAGACTCCCAATTGTATATGTGATATTGTCAATGTAATTTATAGTTTTAATTTTATATAAAGGTTTTACTGAAACATGTATATATATATATATATATATATTTAAACACATACATATTGGTACAAAGAGGCACCAGATATATATGATTATTTTGTAATGGAGAAACAGAAGTGCAAATCAAACATGTAACTTTACAATCAATCAATTTGTAAACTTGATAATAGAACAAAGCAAAAATTATATTAAATTAGTTCATTAATAGTCACATGTACATCGTATGAAAGTTGTAAATGCTATGCCATCGATCACTGCCCATAGTATTATCAAAATTGATCAAGCAGATTTTTTTTTAAAAGAGTATTAAAACTCAGTCAAAGTGGCAAAATAGTATCTTGATTTATATGTTGTTAAAAGTCAATTTAAAAAATAAAAAAAACTGTTTCAACACATTACGCATTTAATAAGTACATTAAACTGATTTTCAAAAATGAGTATAGACTTGATTGTTTTAGTAATCGTCAGTAAATACGGAATACTAGTAATAGCAACTTAACATTTATATAAACATAAACGAGGTCATGATGTATTTTAGTACAAAAAATTGTTTACAGTAGTATGATAGCCGGATGCACATTAATTCAATTATTTTATATTGTACAGCATTAATTATTTCTATTTGATCATCATAAAAGTGATTCGATCAGTTCACCTATAATATATAACGATTTCAAAAATAGTCAATTCACTATTGTTGTTCATCTTAAAGTATTTTTGAAACCATGGTCTATTCATTTTGCAGATTATAAAACATGAATAATTGAAATAGATTGAGTTATTCTAATGAAAACTTTACAATGAAGTCCTAGTAAATATTTTATTACATTTGATCATATTTGTTGTTCACAAAAGAGTATACAATTATGTTGTTTATATTTGTTTACCGAGTAGAGATTAGCATAATCTATTTAGTATCTTGAATGTGTGTAATTGAATAATTTGGCATATGTATCATAGATCTTAAACAAAGACTTTACTATCTATCTCTAAATCCTTCATTTCGATTTTGACAAGATTTATATAACCCTAGAAAATACATTTGTACTAACATGCGCTATATTGTACGTAAGGAAATGGCTTTCAAATATTTCAAAATCTGTCTTCTCGTGTACAAACAGAAATGTGAAATTTAAGGATCGTGACACTCACCTTCTTTTACACTATCACTTTCATAGAAAGATCATATTAATGTACGCCATTTGACGTACAAACAATAAGGAAGCATGTAATACGATATAGAACTCAGTTCAGACCAACATGCTAAGTAGGTCTGAAGTAGGTTTCTCAACAACCTACTGCTTTTTATTTTTTAGTCACCTTTTAAATAAGTTTGGTGAAGCAAATACTCGGACCAGGAAGATTTTGTGAATGTTATTTTACTTCTGAATGAAATTAATATACTGCATATAAAATAAGTGTCCCATCTGTTCACTTAACCAAAATCAATGTACAACATATGCCCTTTTACTCTTACTTATTTAGTTTTATGATATAACCATTTAACATAGAAATGAAGAGTCTCCTACCAAAATTTAAACATTGAATCCCAGATCACTCCACGCTTAGTCTCCCTGACTATCCTTAGGTGTGGTTCTAGCCTTATACATAGGCGGCTTGTTCCTGCCATCCACATATTTCACCAACTTATCTGTTTCTTTGTTTGTTTTAACAGATCATTATGTCAATTAATTGCATAACCTATTCAGGTGCGCTTGTGAAAAGTTTACGATTTTTCGCTGTACAAGTAACGAAAATGCACAATCGGAGACATCGCGATGGCTGACATTCATTCAAAAGAATAAATATTATTCCATCACGCATAGCTATGATGTCTACTAAATTTAATACCAGTTACTCTAATTAATATCGACATCTCTATCACAAAAATTGTATCTAATGTTATCTTTTTGCGCGTAAGCTTTGCCAAGGTATTTGAGAATTTTATATTTTCCAATTTTACTGCTTAATAATATCTGTTTTCGATTTATCATGAAGTGATCTGACATATAAAGTTGTTGAAAAGAGCAAGTATTAGTGTCAATATCATGGAGATAATCTTAGCGGTAGTGTGTATTATATGCTACCATCTTAAACCAATTCTATTTCATACTTTTCATTGGTTAACAGCATTTCTGATCCTTACTTTCGTACTGATGAAAATATTATGGTTTTTGATTTTTTCACTTTATCCAAGTAACTTCGCTATCCTGATGGTTCATAGAGGGACATGAATACGTACACTACACTGTATGTTCTTTAAACTTCTGACTTCTACAGTACAATTTTGGCTGTATTATAAATGTAGAATCAACTGAATTAATATATATCAACAATAAATAAACTTAAAAACTTACTTATTGGTATGTCTGAAAATGCTGACAATAATGGACTAACTTCATCTAACGTTTTAGATTTTTCTGAACGATTACCAAAATAGTCATTCGATGGTCGAAGTCTTCCTGGGAGTGTAGAACGATTAAAAGCTCCACCAGAATCTGAATTAGGATAAAGTCCAACCACTCTACGAAAACTAGAAACTCTGAGGAAAAAGTGTTCATAAGAAATGTCTGGTCAGTAGCAGAAATTTTTGAATAAAAGTGGTTTGATGCTACAAAACAATCCATAAAAATCAGTGGCTTCAATTTTGATATTTTGTGGGATAGGAAAAGTGAAACATACATCAATATAAAATAGATAACATACGAAGATCGAAAAACCACTAATAATCAATCATACAGCCAAAAAACATCGAACGATGATTGTTACCAATTGCTTACTTAGTTTACAGATCTCACTCTAGCTATTAATGAGCGATTCCGGAAGCAGTTTATAATATTTGTACCCGATGATATAATCTATCTGTTTATGTAAACTAAAAACATTTTGCTTTTTCATATACTTAAAAATTGTTGTCAAATCTGTATCTAACCAATCCCAAAATGGTACACTAAGTTTTACTCGCCACTATTATTTTCAAATATTTAGAGATCATTAACACAGAAAATCCCGTAAAGACAAAGTTTATCATACCGACTGAAAGATTGTTGAGGTAGATTGGCAATAGATCCAGTGCAAGCTCGAAGTTCTTGTTGTGACCGTCCACTGTAAAGTAAGAAAAAAAACTATTTATAGTGAATACAATAAACGTGGCATAAGTGGTAGAAATTTGAAAAATATAACAGCCTTAGTAGTTTAACATAAATGAATGACAACAGAATATATAACAAAATAAGAATTTTTTTCAATATGACATTACCGCAAGTGGTTTTGGAAAGTAAAATAAAATCCATCCAAGATGATCAAAGACATTATCATTACAAAATAATCTAGTTAACCAGAAAATTCACATTGAAAGTAAGTTGAGATAGCTGACTTCAATTTCCAAAAATCAAATACGATTATTAGAAGAAAACTAATTTCAATGTTTTTTTAGAAAGAAAATACCTGAAAACTCCAAAAACAAATTTTCTACACCTTTAGTAACAAAAATATTTAATATATCAAACAAATGAAGCTGAATTATTTAACCATCGATTAATCTTCGTATAAAAATCAATACTTTAGTGTAATTCCAAGTTGAAATACTACGAAATGCTTTCACGTCATTTACATTTAATGGATTTACTTCACCATTATGTTGATAAAACAGAGTAACATTAAGGATGGAATTTATTAAATATTGATCGATATTTTTGTGTGAGTAAAAACAATATTACAATAAATTATGTGTAAAATATATATAGAAAATTCAACATGTTTACTAAAGACATTTACTAAAAGCATTTATGTTTACAGGCTCAGTCAGTCCTAACTAACATAGAACCTGGCAAATAATATCGTTGGTTCCAGTTGTCACAACCCATTTGTAAAGCAAGATGAAATTGTCAATAAAAATCCCGGAATAGCAGAGGAAGTAATAGTATAGTAATTGTAACAATAAAGACTAGTAATCAAAGATGAAGTTCAAGAAGAAAATATGGATTGGCTAAGTAACAAGACATAAAAGATAATTAAAAAAATTAGTATCTAAGGGGAGACATATGTCGAATACATCGGTGTTAATGCCAACGATTTTGAGTTATGTTACCTGAAGTGGATCTCAACCAGGTAGTCTACAGCTATAAATAAGGGTTGGTGCAATAGTCAGCGTCTTCCTGGACTGATGTTATGTCTTAGTTTGGCCTCCCTTGCTTTCTTCCAACCTATTCATACAATAGTAAAGATCATGAGTCGACGTAGGCAATGGTTAGGCATACAAACTTTAGTTCCTAATCATCCCTCAGTTCACTATCTGATCAATAAATTTCCAACCTTTACCAATTATTCTGAGTTTAACTTCAGAACTGCTAATAAGTTGGTCCCAAGATATACGAGCAATGCTTCGGAAATATCTATGATCAGGTACTTGTAACCAAAGAATATTTGCTATTTTTAAAAGCCAAGTTTCACACCCATTAAACAAAAAGAAGAGATCTTCTATGCAGCAATCTTGTTCTTTTTGGAAAACGTAGCTCGCCTACGTCATATGTGACGTAGGTTGGCTAAAGTCAACCAGCCTTTCTGAATTCGAGCAGAGATCTCGTTTAACATCAATTCATCAATTTGATGATGTATATAAGCTGTTTAAATGAAGTTATAGTGAATTATACACTACACATATTCATAAATCCATGTTTTACTTTAATGTATACTTAACATTTTTGAGAATCAATTAGATTCAGTAGGAATAAATTTATCAAAAATGTTAATAGCATTTGTCAAAGTAGAGGAAAATTTTAAATTTGAATGATATTTTAGTAGAATTTTAACGTAAAATATATTCTAATTAAGTAAGATTTATAATGGAGGTAATATGTGTTGATCTTTATATCGAGTTTCTATTCTTCGTCATAAAAATATGGTAGAAGGCTTGCGATAGACATTCATTTTATCACCAAGATAGTAGACAAGGTTGACGGGTTATTTAGAATGTGCATGTTGAATTTGTGAAATATCACGTTTAAAAAACATTTTTCAAGTACTCACGATTAAAAATATTGTATTTATAGATTTTGATTGCTTAGATGTCTCCGGTTTTTGAATAGAAATTAACAATTTCACCTCTTTGTTAGAGAAAGCATTGAAGTAGATTACAGTTTCCTGATTTTAATTTTCTATCGCTAATTTCCGTTTATTCAAGTCTTAACATAAATAGTGATTTGGGTTGTGAACTGTGGTTGTCTAAGACATCGAAGTATTTTCCAGAACAGTTGTTATCCTTCGAGTGAATTCATAAACCACTTTCTATCATCATGATATCACAAATTAACTGCTGAGAATAAATAAACTTTGAAAATGTAGTAATTAGTTACAGGATAACAAGAAAAATTCATAATGATGATTACATTCTATGAATTGATCCGAACAAACAATGTTTAAATTTCATGGCAGATGATCTGTGATCTGTGTATTTTGGTTCGCTTTAGTAAGCAACCCGTAATATTTTAACATTGTTCTGTTGTTTATTCTGTAAACAGAAGATGCGATATAATAAAATAGGGCATGATTAAAGCAGATACGCAACAATAGTCCGATTTAATCTTACCTAAATCGATAAGCGTGGCTTCGACTGAAGATATTAGTAGTAGGCTTGATTTTCTTCGCTTCACTAGCTTGTTTTAAACTAGAAAATAAGAGTATTATTGTTAATAGTAGTATTATTAATCCTAATACTATGAATATAGACAAAAGAAAAATGGACAACTAATGGAGCAAAAATAGCTTTTCTGAAATAAAAGCTTTTTGATATTAGCTATTATGAATGGATTTTGTTTTACAAAAACTAAAGAATCACTATTAATTCTAAGCACAGCAAAGTGAGTACAAAGTGAATAATGATGGCGTTTGAAAATACATTATTTTTCTTGGCACACACAACCGACTTTAGCTGAATACACACATTACGTATGTGAACATGATACTTCAGACTTGTTTTTTTCGCCAACCATACTTTATCTTTTTTTAATTTATAAAACAATGAATAAATTGATTGACTTGATGCTCAAAGGTCGCATACTTTTTAAGGATTATATATATATAATTTAATGAAAACGAATGTAACCTAAGAACAAGGTCATAGATAGTATTAGAAAAAGGATTCCAAAGTATTACAACTTAAAATTATAATAAATGAGGGATGCCTCAGTTTTTCTTGTCAGTTTTCAAATCAAAGGTGAAAGAGAAGAGAACTAATTGTTAACAAAGTTCAAGATGAGAATTACGTATCAATTAATTAAAACTTAGTAACGACTTTTCGGCGCTCATTATATTTACACAGAAATATCGTCTGTTTTATAATATAAGTAGCAACAAGAAACCAGTGATTGAGTATGCAATATATGCTAATATTATGAGTAACTGGCTGTAAACCATCTACATCAAACAACAATGTTACGTAGAAATGACATAATTAATGAACAAGTATTTTATATTTGGCCTGAGAAAAATTAGACCATACAATTCTGACTGCACGTAGCTAAACCGAACTAAACAGAATTGTATCTATCAATAGATATTGTTGACCAACCAAATAAGTTGCTAAGCACAAATAGTTTCATTTGAGTGCCTATCTTTGATCTACGACTGTTAACATAAACCTTAGTAAAGCTGACGTGGGTTTTTGTATTACAGATAATGAAAGGGATAAAGTTTGACCTCAATGATAAATTAATATAACACTGCCATTCTTGAGAACATATTTATTGTCGCAATATTGTGTTTACTGGGTTAAGCAAAGATTTGTTTTTATTATGAGCGCTTGTAAGACTTTAGTAGGACAGGTTTTCAAATGAAATCTGATGTGTTATTTTGAAAAACACACATTCTTAGGCTTATGAAGATTAAAAGATAATTAAAAGATTCTGCACACAAAGTCTCGTACAGAGGAATGTTTTTTCTTATGAACATGCATTAAAATAAGGGTCTAACTAGTGTAAATAGAAGTAATGAACTTAAAACAGCTGAATATTGTAAAGTAAGTAATAATCTTAGAAATTGAACTCGATCCTTATATCAATACAGGATATTTTTCTACTGTTTAGCTTAATTGATAATGGAATCGAAGTATATATGCATCTCATCAAAAGAAATGTTAACCACTTGATTGAGAACAAGATATAAATATTTAAAACATTCTGACCTTCATATTAGGTTGAAAACAAAAACATTCATCTACCATCGGTTTGGTCTACTGTTTTCTATTATAGGCCACTACAGTCGAACGATGGGCAGTAGCATAAAAAACTCTTTCATAATTCAGTTAGTCTCTCAACTGTCATGTGGTTCAGAAATAACATGAATAAATGATCGAATGAAATTTATTAGAAGCAGATTTTGATGGTGTTAACTAGAACAGTAATCAAATCATCAAATAAAGGCATCCAGAATAAGGAACGAAACTACAAGGTCTTTGTACTGTTGGTCTCTAATGTCTGATTATTTACAGTTTAACTGGAATCAATAAAAACAAGTGATTATGAAATACTCTGATAATTCAAGACCGAATAAAAGTTATGAGGTAAACAAATTATTATCAGTGAAAATTAGACTTTTACTACAGTATAAACCCGTATAATAATGATAAAACCAGTCACTTCGTTAAACGATATTTCATTTTCAATAATTCTTTTAACACTAACAGTTAATAATTACCATTCCCAGTAAAATGGGATTTACATAGTAACAATAGTAAATCTATAAAAATCTACACTAATAAAAACTACTTTTCATTTACTCTCTACAATATGAAATAAAATGTAGACGTACGTGAAGAAGCATTTTCTATCAACAACCCAATGCCAAAAAGCAAACGCTGCAGTTTTAGATTTACAACGAAATGAATGCAGAATATATTTTGTCTAAGAATTTAGAATAAAACAAATAAATAAGTAATCAACAAGATAGATATAATAATTTTTTATTTAAAAAAAAATATTTTCAAGACAGAGAATAGCAATTATTACCAGTACCACATCTCTTTGTTTCAATGGACATAAATGGAAAACGATGTTATTCAGTGTTCTCATGTCAAATTTACATAACAAAGAATGGTATTTTTCTTCATTAAAAAAAACAACTACTAAGCACAATAATCACAAAGACAATCTGTAAGATAAATATCAATGAAGGACTACATACACAAACACATATTTTATAAGCACCAAATGAAATAGTGAACAACATTTTCTTTAGAAAAAATTAAAGAGCTATGCTAAAGAATTTGAAAAAATTTATTTAGTGCTATTGAAATAAACTAAAACTGACATTCACAGTTTAACTGTAATAACATTGAACTGGTTGCCTCAAGAGATTACAAGATTACATGATATAGCCTTTTAATATTAACGATTATCAGCACAGAATAATTTCTTTCTCATAAAAATTAAGATGTACCGATTCGTGAAATAGAACGTGTGTATTTTTCAGTTGCAATAAGTACGTATCCAATTGTGAAATAGTCACATTATCATTGACTCATTGAAAATAGATTTTTGCGTATATATGTGACAGAACAAAAATACTGTAATAGTTGCATTCTATTTATTCACAAAATAATTTTAAAAAATGAAAAGATACACACCCACACACGCAACACGGCAAACATGTGCACACACACAAGGAAAAATTTGTAAAATTGATGAAAAGTAAAGAAGATGGATGATTGCTGTTTGAAAGTAACATAAGTGCAATGTATGTTTCTACAGTGTTGTATAAAAAAGGGTGACTTTATGGATAAGCACAAGTACAACTCTAGGACAAGCTATTTTCCGTGTAGTAAGTCACTGCGGTTCGCTCCACTGAACCCCAGGAGATGCTAATTATCATTCAAATCTACGATATTATTGATATGAAATTACAAAATAAACATTACATAGAAGTCATTTTGAGGTAGGTTTGTTCTTTGAGCTGGATGGTTTGGTCGTGGAGCTTTCATCGTCTTTCTGAACGATATCATCAGCACAACCAAAACAAAGAAATAAACAATGACAGATTTAAGGTCAGTAAGAACCAATCAACATCGAGGTGCACAGGACAAGCTGTGAATCAGATGTCGAGAAATTCAAACACTTCACTTCTACCCGATGTTTGTGCTGATCATGTCGTTCAGAAGGACGATGAAAGCTCCACGACCAAACAATCCAGCTCACAGAACAAACCTACATCAAAATCACCCACATGAGCTACAAATCTTCTCCACCACCTCATAAAATTCATTGTTTGTAAATAATTTCAGCCGTAAAAATAATGATTTTTACTAACTCCAAAGGTATCATGAAAAGTTAAGGATCCATAGGTTAACCATCAAATATTGATGATCCTAAAAAGTAGCATAAATGCAATACATCTTCATTCCCGAGATGTCATATTTCTCAGGTATAGAGTAGAATTAAAGTTTTAGATAAATTACACAATGCTTCAGAACAGTAAGTACCATTTCACGTTAACATAACTGAAAGTGATGTAGCTTCCGAGGCACAACATAATTTGATAAAATGAAAGTAGAGTTCATCTGTAAGTTAGGTATGATATTAATACATTGAATATATTACAGAGAACATATTTCTAAGTAACAATAAATTAAGAATAAAATGAAAAAATATTACTCATATCAACTGTGATATCAAATTTCAATGAAGTACTAAAATTGTGAAATATTTGGCAAACAGTATATTATTATTGTTAATACAACAAATGGTCAGATCATTAGAGACTTAAAAATAGTAAATATATATTAAATTTTTATTACATATCATTGAATCAACAAGTATCATTATGTTGTTTAAATAAATAACTAAAATCTCTTGTTATATATATGATTTGAATTTTGTTTTTCATAATGTGATTTCTAAGGAGAAGAAGAAGATTCCTAAGAGGATGTTCATGAGGTCTGATCAACTATCAACAGATTAATTTCATTGTTTATTTAAATTAATTAAATAAACTGCTTCAAATTTTATTATATTATAACTTTTTATGAGTGTATTTGTAAATCATACAAAAGTTTATCATATCCTCCCTTCTAATTAACGTTGTTTAACAAGTTAGAACTAGCTAGGTTTCTTGAAAATGGTATGGAATGTGTCATGATATACTGCAAAAACTTATTCACCTTAAAAAAATTCTATAACCATATAAGAGCAAGACCAGGCCTCAACTATTTAACATCTATAGCATAAGAGGTGGGTAGACATCAAAAATCATATACGCTTATTCATTGACTATTGACTAAATACAATATGAGGACAGTAATGAAAAAAGTATCACAAAGATTAAGAAAACTATAACAATAAGAACACATGGCTTTTAGTTAAATTAGAACAGATTTATTTTAGAATGATAGTATACTATCAGTTTATGATAATATTTGGAAACAATTCGGATAGACTTTTAGTGTGAAGTGTTGTTCGTACTCTAGAAATGAAATATTAATCGAGTGACTTGTAACGTCTTGGTGGTTAGGGAATCTTTCTGAACAATATTTGTAGACCAAGGCGTACAAGATAGTTTGATTGAAGTAGCTAAGCACTAGTGGGATTGCTAGCTTTGGTTCTTAAAACCTTCTAACTTGTTTAGTCCATCCGTTTGTAAACTTTTTTATGTAACGTTGTTTTTGCAATCTTTCGGAATAAAACGTTGAACGGGGCACGAAAACCTACTAGTAATAAGCAGGATGTTTCACAAGGCAACAAACGACACTGCTTGCTACTTTCACGACGAAAAAATATGAGCTATGTGTAGAAATAAAGCCGTAACGAGATTTAAGTTGGTCAAAATACATACATTTATGTCAAAATAACGGTAGCTTGTGAGTTCTAGCCTTCAAAAACGAGTAATTCACAATGAGTATTAGTAACAGTTGTGACTGATAATAGTTGTACGGAGCAACTCTGCCAAAAGCAGGTGGAAACTACCTAAAGTAAGCAATGAGATAGATATTTGACTTTAGTTAATCATTCATAAGTTTCACAATTCATGTTGGTTATTTTTTATAAATGGTATACTTTGAAGAAATTAAATTCCAATAATTTTAACTTTCCATTTTATATCAACCAGTCAAGAAGTTCCTTACACTAACTAAATTTACAATTTAATAATACATATGATTTGGTAAGTTGCTTATGTAAAGTTTAGTAAGTCGTAAATGTTCTAAAAATGAATGGTCATTTTGAATTTACATACATAAGATCATCAGTTGTTCGTAATCATTTAACCAGATATAAACGAAAAATAAATTTCATGTTGAATTGACAAATAAACACATGCATGTTTCTTGAGCAATATGTATTAGTTAGGAAACAGAGAAATATATAAGTGCTGAGATAAAATGAAAATTCAATCAATATGTATGCAAAACAAATCTTGTTCAATAAATATTTAAAAAAAATATGTGTATAATATGATAGTGCATTTAATAAATAAGTGAAAGAAATCAATAAGTTAAAAAATAAATCTATAAAACACCACAATAACACGTTTTATGGGGAGCACTAACGCACACTCACACTGTTTACATAAATAGATGAAACAACACAAATTAGTAGTATGATTATTCATATAAATGAGATGTATGAATTAACTCAATAGATGTTTTAGAGATAAATTATGTTAGAATAAAACAGTTTTAGATAGGGAATGAGTAATCATGCTACTTTACACCAAACCATATCAATGATAAAAACTGTAATAAAATAGGTAAATATACCCGGAACAATTTTCGTCCAGTATGGTTCTAGAATTAATATGATAAGAATATAAAAAAAAGTACTGCATGAAACCTTTTATACTTGAATGTCGAAAAATTACATAACTTACCAAATGAACATGAATGGGATTATATAACACTTCTTTAATTAAAACCATAACAAGTAGAATACAAAGTAAACACTATGAGCGTGTGCATTTTGTGTTTACAAGACAACTTTGGCAATAATCAAATTTATTGTGGTAAAACTATGTGAAACGTTATATAAAGTAAAAGAATCGAGAAACAACAACTGAGAGGAAGAAATTAGTAGATATACGAGTTAACAGCAACACTTAACAACATAATAAAGAAGAGAAGGAAAACATTAAAACTGAACAAAAATTTTGAATAAGGAAAACAGACGCAATTTTTCCCAATTTAACATCAAAATATTTTTCACACTGAGACTTCTAGCAAAAGTATGATCAATAACCTAGGTAATTCATTATATGTAAAAAAATTATTATATTTGAAATAGTCTCAGCGATTGAAATATAAATAATTCCAACGTTTTGTCCAGCTAACTTGTCAGACTTCTTCCCTGAAGAAGTCCAGACAAGTTAGCTGGACAAAACGTTGGAATTATTTATATTTCAATCGCTGAGACTATTTCAAATATAATAATTTTTCACATATAATGAATCCTCTATACTCGGCGCCCAATTATTGTCAATAAAGTAGTTAATTTATTCCATAAACTGTTACTTGGGATCCTCCAGTTACTTAGTGACTAATGGATGAATAATTGTGGAAATAAACTTAATTGTAAATGATAGCGTTGAGCACATATCTTACATGTCCCAGGATTTGAAACGGTAAATTAAACACCTATACAATAAATATTGGAAGTATTAAAGCTAAAATAACTAAACTTTAGAGTTAAACATTTGTTTATTAGTAGTAACACTTGAAACTTCTACTTATTTCACATTTACGCATTTAGTATAAGTATAAACACATATGTTGTCGAGTAAATTATTTATTGTCACATATCTATTCAGTGATTGGCATGGTATTTTGAGAAAGTATTGAACAATCTGAATCACAAGATGGTAGAAATTCGGCAAAATGTTTCAATTACTGAAACTTTGATAGTTAACATCTTTGTGGCGACATACCAGATGGTGGAAATCAATAATCACATACCAAAAACTATACTTCAATATACGAATCTACTTAAAGTTTTACCATCTTAATTAATTTCCATTTCTTTTGAAACTCCACATTTTAATCGTTGATGGTATTTTGAAAATTTCTTTTTCCTCTGGTGCTTTATAATGTGATGACTTGAATAGATTTTACTAAACTAAATTCTACTTCGCTTCAGGTAGTTAAACTAGATTCAAAGCCGAAATTCACATCACCATATTCAAGGAGAAAAAATACTCGGATTTCAACCCACATAAACTGACTAGTTTCAACTGATATTCATTTTGAATGAACATCAAAAATGTCAATGATATAATAGCTTAAAATCTATCACTAATAATTTGTGGAACCAATATAGTTGATGTTCTGAATGAAAGAAACTTTATGATGTAGTTGTACTAACAATTCAGCACAACATCAAGTTTAGATTATTCATTATAATACTGCATGATTGATTTAAAATATGTATAGAAAGGTAAGCTGAATAATTCAGCATTTGAAAGAGAGCAAACTAGACATACACTATGTATATCACTAATACCTACTATTTTCATAATAGCAAGGATAGTATATTTGGCTATTATGTAAATGTTACGACTAGAATTATGACACATTTATCATATTAAATATGAATGATTATCCGTCAATATGAACATAGCATGTGCATGATTTTTAACGTGTGAATACGCATCAATCTTATCAAATGTTTAATACGGTGTTTGATGTCTTCCACTCCTTATAACGATTTTCTGTTCAGCTTCAAATCTCTATTCGAACTTTATGAAATGGAATACGAATAACTAACTTATGAAATGAAACTTTACTCTATTTGCATCTGATGTAAATCCTTAAAATCGAACAATTGCATCTTATTTTCCAGATCATATTATTTTGTTGTATTAAAGTATTTAATTACAACCCAATAGGTCAAAGTTTAGGTGTCCGTCACGAACCTTGACGATCCGAAATTACAGCTTCTGAGATGCCATACAGTACGGTAAACAATCAATTAAATGTTTCCCAATACCTAGTTGTACCTCGGTATTATATGAGTCCGTGGTGAATACAAACTAGCAATCTCCAAGACACCCACCAATCAAAAGTATATGAAATTTTCAGCAGTGATAATAAATGATGCTGATAAGTAATATGAATGTGGTTAGTTTTAACTTTTATGTGTGTAAAACCGAATGAATCTTGTAGCGAAGCGTTGAGTTATAACACTAAATATGATAACCACAACAAGGAAGATTTAAAACAATGAAAAAAACAACAACACAGAGACAAAAACAGTTAGTAAATCGCCATTAAAACACTGAGATAATAATAGTATTCTCATCATTATGTCAAAATTCGTCGCTACAGTGAACGGAACATTTCACAAGAAAAATGGTTGGAAAATTTAGATAACAAAATGAATATACGTCACACGATACCACTGATAACAACATTAACAAATGTGAATACAGCATTCAAATAAAACTATTTGTTCAGTCTTACAAAAGCACACTTTATCGTAATGTGATTAGCATATTTGTTAAATGCTATCATATCTACACTGTTATATCATTCACTAATTGAATGGCTTTTCTTCAAATAACAACAACACATAATTAACTAAACAAATATTTCTAAGAATGTTTACATAATGTCTATGAATAATTATAACTTTCATTAAGTACGAGTACTTATAATCACTAGCTTTCAATTAATATCGATAATAACTGGGAAGCGAATGGCATGAAGGGAGAATTTCTAATCAGGCAGGAGTAAAATCTTTCAAAAGTACTGATGAGGACATGAAATTTAAAATGCAAAACACTAAAGGACAGTGTATTTCGATAAATTCTTCATAAAACAATAGCTGGAAAATAACAGGTATCCCGTGACCGAAGTTAATTATGATAGTAACCCAAAAGAGAATACTATCATAGTGTTATTTAGTCTTATTTTGATTCCCTAATCATTGCTATTAACTATCAGGAAACCAACTGAAAACATTTGTTTCTTAGTATTATTTAGAATATTAATATTTTGAAGTCCTAATTTTTCACTAATTATCTATTATTTTTATTTTAAAACAATCATCTAATTGAAATTAACATAGAATTCACGGCAGAAACTAGTCATTATGATTAGTACATTCTAGAAAATGTTTACCTGCGAAATTTTACTTATCATTTTTATACTTTGAAATAACTCCACCAATCTGCTCCTACCATATTGATTTAATGCACAGACAAACTGATTCACATAAAGAATCATTTGCTAGTCAGTCAAATTGAAGAAAATGATTGGAAAAATGACGTATTAATTGCAGGTTTCAAGCTGAAAATATCAGTCAAAGATGTCTTTTATTGAAATAAAATGTTTATCACTATTTTCTGATTATTATTACTAAATGATGAAAACCACCTGTAAACGTAAGTCAATTTATTTAGAGTTCTAGTTGGAGACATCTAGTCATGTTAATCATTTATTTATCATGAGGTATTTTAAACAAAGTTTGGTCAGCCTTACCCAAGACATTAAAATGAATATTATATTGAATAAAATGGACAGTGAATTTATCATGTACAAGATAGTAACTCAGCTTACTCTGATTAACACGTGTAGAAGTAACCAAATTGCACATATATCCACCCACAGATTAAAGCCTTCATGAAAATACCCCAGTTGTTAAAAACTCAGTATTAAAAACCAACTGCATAAATTCAGCCAATAAAATTCAACTTTTATCATCTGTCTATCGTCCTGAATTTGGGTTATAATTTTGTCTGTCCTAATTCATCCAAAGTAAGACCTACTAACCTTTCTTATTAGCCAAACAAAATAATATTGATTTATTCATAAAGAGAGAATAACAATAAAGCTAAATTTGTTTAAAAAAATTTGTCCATATTTTGAGCTATAAAAATAACGTAAAACACTTTTCTAGAAAAGCAAATTAATATCAGAATATTAGAAGGAACTTTTGATGGTTAGTACATGTATACGTACATTACAAAATCGAAAACAAAATGACTTACATGATCTCTTTTTAAGTAAATTAGGAATAATTTTCCATCACAGCCTAATCGATGAATTTGATCCCTGAAATTAGAAATAATCAGATTTACATGCAACTGTTTACTTAACAACAATTAGCATGAACTCAGACGAAATTTATGAATATGAAGAATAAAGCTACTGATAATTATAGAATTAAATGACCATCAACTGCTTAAATTGAAAAGTAAATATAAATAACTATAAATCATGGTAAGCGGAGATGGATAGTGGCTAGCAGTGGAATCCAGTCTCTAATTAGAGACTGACCAGTTGCAGTCCTAAACACATCGATGGGAAGATCCAAACAAACAATACTAAGTGAATTCAAACTATAAATCAATTCGTTTCAATAACTATTTCCACGTTACATTCATTACGTGAATATTAACCGTATTAGTGAACTGTTAAAGACCTGAGTATGTGAAATGTGAAGCAAACCTATCATCCATTGATTTTCAGATAGTAAGGAAACTCAAGAAGTCCATCAAATCATAAAATTTACATATCTTTAGAAACTATTGGTCGCTGAGATATAAATAGTAACTAATACATCCAATTAGTTAGTACTGAGAAAGAGATTTCGAAGCGAAAATTCATCCTCGTTAATCTTTAATTTTAACCTTCGGAATAAATATTTGCATTTTAAAAAACATTTATACAGTCGTTCTAGGAAAAATAAAATATAAAATACGCCTCAAACAGAATCTAAATTTCTTATATGGCATTACTACGAAATCATGTAACATGGAACTCGATAGCCAGCAAATTGATAATATGGTCGTACATATCATTCAGGTAATGTACTAAGTGGAAGTCGAAGACTACTTCATTATTCACATTGGTTTCTATATAATATATGAATGTGAGTATAATTCGAAGATAGTTGGTTAAAAGTATCCATCCTGTCTCGGCATAGTAAAGGCGAACAGCGAATATAAGGAAAAGAGACTTATTTGAAAATAATTTCAAAAACAATTAATCAAGAAAAACCTATGGTGTCTACATTTAACCGCATGATTTTTAAATGATGTCTAAAAAGACGAATTTTACTTACAGGTAGCTAGATATCGTACTTATGGTTCAACATCTACTATGTGTGAACGTGAATACATATAAGGTAATCATACACAACATACTTTTTTTTACTTTTGATAAGTACTTTTTGGATAACGGGGACTTACCATGTATATTCTGCATTTCTTTGTCGCCCCACAAAAGTCACTACACCTGTACTGGTTATACCCAAGTAGAAAGTAGCTCCTTCAGGTAAATTTACAGGTTGAGGACTCAATGTGACTGAGTTTTGCTTTCCATTAGTAGCTTTAACTTCAGTTGGCGGCGAATTGTTTTCAGTTGCTGAGGTTGAAACAGGTAAATAAACCTTTTGCATGGGCTTAAAAGTTGGAGGAAAAAGGAAATTATTGTATTACATAATAATTCAGTTTTAAAACTACTACCTAACAATCTAACGATTTGTTGATGTTGACTTTCATATATGTAAAAAGTGATCTCATAATACACGAGTTGACTGAAAAAATGAAAGCCTTATAAGTCACATTACCCCTTTTTCCTTGGCGAGAAAAAATTAGAATGCAAGTTTTTAGTTAATATGTGTCGATTCACATTAGCACATCAAAAAACACATAACAGGTAGGTGATGTGAGTAATTTATGGTCTCATAAAACTTTAAAAACTGAAATCAGTTGTTTGTTTTTGAAGTCCATACGTGTGTTTCATGAATTATTGGAAAATAAATCTCTGATTTGATTAAACAAGGTAATCTATTTGAATAAGACAACAATAACCTCCATCTCCAAATAGAGTACCTACAAACCACAATTCCCTTTCCTGTCATAGCCACAGTAACTCAGAAATCAAATCTTGTAATAGATATTTAATAAAAAAATACACCAGGAGAGTGATTCAAACTAACGTGAATAAATAGATGCCGAAAGATCTGGAACCTGGGTTAACATTAGGAATGTTAAATGAGCTACTGATCAGTGAGAAAATATTGTTTCTAATCCAAATAAAATGAGATAATTGCATAAGGCGCTCGGACGCAAAAACGGATCTAAACTTACATAAATAATAGAGTAAAAAGTACTTTGCTGAAAATTAGAGATCGACACTTTTCAGTTTAGCATCTGGCTTTTGTAGATGTCATCAGTCGGACCATCTTCTTGTTCAGAGCTTCTGTTGACCTTCATCTCTTTTTATCCTTAAACTGAACGTGTCTAACCTCATAAACCATGAAAATTGTTGTGCTAGACAGCTCAGTAGTAGTGTTTTTGTGTTGTTTGGTTTGAAGGTACTTACCCACTCTTACTTAGTAAATGATTTTACTCTGCTTTCTTGATATACATTCTGTTCGATCTCACTAGATCATTAGTCTCAGACAAACACTTGGAATCCTCAGTGAAAACCTTATTTTGGTCGGCTGAGTGTCTCTGCACTGACATTGTGTGGTACCTTGTTTTTAGATTCAGATAAATAAGTGCCTACATCGATGACACTTTACTGCTCATTTATCGAGGTGCTTCATATTAAAAATAAACTTTGTAGAGTCTCTATTTCTGTCACCCTCTCTTCCTTGATCAGAGTCCGCTTAAAGCTATCCACAAATCATTCAGCCTGGTCATTCGATTGGGGGTTACAAAGTGTTGGACAGATGTGTTTAACCACATAATGTCAACAGAAATCCTTGTAATATATAGGCACGGATTGTGACCCGTTGTTTAACACAAGTGTTTGGGAATCCATTTCAGTCAAAATCCTCCATCAATAGCTGAAAGTTAGCATGAGTGGGAAAACTTCTGTTCTTTTTGACTAAGCATCCACAATTACTGCAGAAATAACTCTGTTGATTGCTCCATCGAAGTAGATGAGGAGTTCTGATCGTTGTTGCTCTGACTTCAGCCATTCCACTAAAGAAATCCGTTTACCCTGTTTTGTTATTTACTAACAGAGATCACAGTGTGTTTATAGTCAGTAAATGTCATCTTCCTAATTGAACTTCTAACAGCATACAAGCTTCAACAAAATCAATTTTCGGAATTTCAATTCATCAAATAACAAACATTTCCGACAAGTTTGGAGAAGATCCTCAATAAATTGTCACAATAGCTTATTTGTAAGGTTTAAAGGCACCAGTAGTCTAAGGTATCAATAGTTATGGATACGTACTATCAAGAACTACTAAAATGAAATCGATCAATCCATTTATATTTCATGATTTCTACCAGTTGATTAACTAATAAAAATAGTGATGAATATTAGATAAACACATTTATTTCTAATATATAACACAAGTTCATATTATTATGCCAAACATTTTGCATACTAATCGACTGATAACAATATGATATAGTAAGCTCTTACTGATCAAAATTACACTAATACCCAAGACAACAGATACGAAATCTTAAAAAAACAATCAAGACGATTGTAATTCATCAAAATGTAAAATACAATGACAATCTTTCAGCGGATAGTTAGACATTAAATGCAAGTTAACATAATTATTTAGTCCGAAATTCACATTAAATTCAAATGATAACACCTACATTGCCATAACAGGCAAACAAAGCCTCAATCTAATCTCTACATCACTTACGTAACATCATAAGTATGCGAAAACTGGAAAACAAGACTACTACCAAAAACTGTAATATTTGTTTCGACAATGTAATAAGAAGACGAAGATTATCAGAACTATGTGTTAAATTAGCGCAATACATTTCGAACAATCTGATCACACATATACTTGTTAAGAACATTTATATTTATAGTTGACCATTTATTTTTTATATATAAATGTTCTTAACAAGTATATGTGTGATCAGATTGTTCGAAATGTATTGCGCTAATTTATCACATAGTTCTGATAATCTTCGTCTTCTTATTACATTATCGAAATTTATCAAAGGGACTAATTGCTCTAATATTTGTCTTCAAAATATCTTTTCTAATAAAAGTAATCAGTTTTCAGTTCTGATGATTGCTTTATTTCTAAACTGTTAGTTAAAGCAAAGGTACACAAGAAGGTACAAATAAAATATATTTAGGTATTTTTTAAAGACCAGGCCTATTCAGACGGATTGACAGTAGCTACGTAATGTAGTATCGCTTCGTATTTGAGTTTATAAAACACACTTGTTATATTTGCCTTAACGTTGGTCTACACTTTAAAGTGAACTATTATACTCATTATACTCAGTAAGATTATTAATATTATTATTACTTCAAAGCGATCTTAGACTTCATACTAAAAAGTATCCCACCACTGTAATAAAAATATAATTTATATCATAACATAGCATAACCACTGATGTCAAAAGACTTATTTACAAACATAATTCAAACAAATACTGATAAAAAAAAGTTTAGTTGAAGAACAAAAATTCCATAAATACCGTAGCTGGTACAGGATCGATCCCATAAGTCGGCAACTGTGATGCCCGTCGGAGAAGTTCAGTTTCCGCATCAACCGCTTTAAGACCACTGAAAGTAAAAAGAAACTGCGATCACGTCAAAATGTTACAACGTATGACTTAGAAGAAGCTAAATTAATGACAAGACAAACTCAAATTTCTTCAACAAATGGAAAGGTGATAGGAATCATTTTGATTCTAACACAGCAAATGTAGAGAAAATACTGTAAAAACAAGCTTCACTTTAATGTTATTCATATGTGTAGAGACGGCTTAAAAAAACGCTCCATCCCTAATTCAGGAAACGAAAAGGAGTTAACTTTTTAAATTGAAGACTTCGTAACGATGTCGAGTTACAATTATACTTTGTGAGAATCTTATGACGTGTCTAATGATTTTGAGAAACCAGTACAAAATATTCTTTCCAGTGACTGGTGAGCACTTGAGTTAAAAACCATGACAAGTTTATATATATATATATATATATACTAGTAGTCGGTTTGATTGGTTAATAAACTTTTTTTAACTCAATATTTGACTATTCACCATAACAACATTTCTGTAGATATTTGGACAGTTCACTGGATAGACAGACATAAGTTTAATGATATTAAAAACATTGAAAAGACTAGAACCTATATGAACCGCACATAAACAAGAATCGAATCGTACGTACAATAAAACTGATTTGTTTTCTATATTAAGTAGTCACATTCAGTTAATTCTTGGGAGTGACTAAGGTAGATAGTCACATGATTTGTAAAATTGATTCTCTAGCATAAGATTAAGACATAAATTAAGAAAATGGAATCGCTCATTATTTAAGATAAGCTTACTAGAGCCTTTTAGGTTGACTTGACCAAATAAAAGATGTTTCTTACAAGTGTTAGAGTTGATTGAGATTTGGATTAGTTCAATATGTTCTTAGAGAACTCACAAGAATGATATGTACATATTTAGGTGTAATGCCATAAAATGATTAGGCAAGGATGTGTGTGACATGGCACGATGAAATGTTCAAATCAGAAGTCTCATTAGGTTACGAAAACTTCATCAACTGGTTGTGTTTATATACTCTTAATATAACTAGCTAACGGAGGAAATACTTACGTAAAATATTGCCAGCAGCAAATTTTGTGTATACACTAGAATTATAAAGAAACACAATAAGAGTTCTACCACCTTACATGTTCAGCATCTACGTGGCTGATACTGTGTAAACCGAATAAGTTTTTCAATTCTTTTAAACTATCTTGATCTGTTGAAACATAGGATTAGTCATATTTAGATTTTTGAGTACACTAATACGACTGACTTGTCCAGAGAAGTAAAGCTTACTTCTTCCACATGAAAAATGCGTCTCATACGAGGGTTGGACGAAAATATCTTTCGTCAAAACCGATCCGGAAGACAGTGAACATCCATTAAGTAGCTTTGAAGACTTGTGGTCTCTAAGATCCGAAAGAAACAGATTATGTCTGGGTCTATTTTGTCAGCCGACTACTGTTAAGAGTGCATCACTTACCACTACAGGTGTTCGTTGATCAAACCATTAATCCAAGAACCCAGAGGCGAGGAAGTCCCCAACTATTATTTATAAGCTTAAGAATTACTACATCCTTCACATGAGTTATGTTTACCTTTACTGCTACGAAAAACCTTTTTATAAGAATGCTTTTCATTGTTTCCATAGTAGAATAGTCAAATATGTCTCGCACTGTAAACTTATACCCAATACGCAGACCGTCTGCAGACAATAACAGAAGTTTATTGAGGCTTCATAACGATAAATGTTAACAGTGCCACATTAATTTACTTAGCTAACAGATGACAAAAAACCCACTAAAATATATGAGTGTGCAAAATATCCAATGTTTTTAAAAAAATGACCCACGAGCTGTTTACTGTAGATTAAATTGATTAAATAAAGGAAACAAGTCATGTGCTATAAAGTACAGGCATGAAAAGGAAATGAGACATTGTTGGTTGTTTAAAGTGTGTAAGTTGTGAGATAGATATGCTAGGATTTAAGAATAGATAGTAGGCGATAAACATTCTGATTTGTAGCTAGTATGACAGTCTTAGAAGATTAGCTCATACGAAGTTGGCCATGCAGTTGGAAAAAATTCTACAAAGTTGGATGAGTATACACTATTAACAGTGATATACATACACAACGGATTGATACGGAGTTCTTTTACTAGGTGTGATCACATGACCAGATTTGTATACGTACGACTTTATAATAATCATATGAATAACAGTCAGATGAGAAATAAGTTAGGACTAAAGGATTTGACTTTAAATTGTGTGCAATCCCGTACAAAAGTTAGATTAGGCGGTATACACCAAATACTTATTTAAATCAACATTCAAATTTATTCAAAACCTTAGTATTTATGTAAGTTGACTTTCAGATGTATGCTACTGAAAAACGCACACAGTGGAATGCAAGGCAATACTTTAACCACAGCAGCATATATCCCTATACACTTTAAATGGAATTTGAAAACTATCGGTTTTTCCTAAATTTAGAAGGTATAATTTATAATTTCCTTTTGCTTATATTCAAACATAAGAGAAAATATACAAACTTTCTAAAAATGCGCTTATATAGTAAAATTTGTTTGGACTGTTTCTACCTATTTTAATTAGTACTGTTGTACCTTATCTTTATAACCTTATAGAATGATCACACTTTGGCAAAATTCATATATTGATACCCTTGGTATTTGAAATGCATTTTGGATTTTCAATAAAAATAATAATTAGCCAAAATAACAATCATACGATTGTACAATTACCAGTTTTTTATATTTGCATGACAGTTTTATGATCACAACAGGACATGATGTCATCGGTTTAAAATGGACTCCGTGATTTCAGAGTAATCTAATGATATTATGGATCAGTTGGCAGAAGTAATGAACGGTGAACCAGTTGAAACTCACTTTCTAAACGTCTTAATTTCACTCAATTTAATGACTAAAATTAAGTGAAACTGCTATCTTTAGAAATTTCACAATGATATTTCTCATGTAAAGATAACAGACACTATAATTAAGAAAAAATGTCAGTGTGAGCGCCATGGTATTAGGGAATAAATTACTGGAGGAGGCCAGTGCTATTATATGGCTTTCAGGATTAGTTAGGCATGTATGTATGAAAGAGTTGTGCACACTATTATTATTCTCCATTTACATGGTGAGCCAGTTAGACACCTAAGAAGTATGTACTAGTAGAGTACATACAGACAGTTATTTATACTATTTCAATTCAGCTCAATCCCACTACACTTCCAACTTTAAGAATCAAACAGACACGAAAATCTGTCGCAAGCCCATTAAACCATTTATTATTTGTGTGTTCTCATTTAATCCACTTTGTAAATTTATGTGAGTCTGATTGAGCACATGCTGCACTCAATCTTCAATCTATTCCCTGATTGGTTGTAAGCAAAGACAATCAATAATTTATCCACAGTCCATTAACACTAATAAATATATATGGATTTTTAACACTCACACACACACGTGTTTTCCCGATGTGCTTGCAATCTGTACGCTTGAGGATTTTACCAAACTTCAACAATAAACTGTATAACTGCTGTTCAGGCTTTTGAATAATCTCGAGTATACCCATAATTTCAACTAGGAGATTTAGCCTACTTTAAGTATTCGGTTAACGGGATATTAATTTTGTATGTTGGAGTCAAAAGTGAAGAAATAACCCCCTACACATCAAACCTAGTTTCAAACATACGTTGATAAATATATCATTGTTTCATTATTAACATTCTACACAGTACTCAAACTATATATTCCAACCTTTGTAATGATACATATGTTTTACACAGTACTAGATCTGAAACCTTTGTAATTAAATTGATTTCTAAAGTCGAACTATGTACATATTTTAAAGAAGGAGGGAAATGATTGTATCCACTGATTACAGCAGCCGAAAAAATCTCTTTTCGGTCATTTAAACTAACAGACGTCATTCAAAACGAAGATGCATAAAAAGCAAATTACCGAAGCTTTTGGTATTCTTTCATTATTTGTGCTTCAACCTCCGGCGTTTGGTTGAATATTATTTTCAGTTTACGCAGCATCTCACAGCATGCAGTATAATTTAATGTCTCTCCTTGTATACACTGGTCACAATCATTATTGTTGGACATATTTGTAGATTCAGTAGACTCCACACTATCCAACCGTGAATCATATAGAGGTGGTGTACAGTGATTAACATCACTATTTGGTGTTTCTACGTGTTCTGACGGTGCATCACCGATTTCAGCTAAAAGAAATGTGAATAATCAAGAAAAAATACCTTTAATATGATCAAGTGGATAAAATGTAGATATGATATCACTTATGATAAAATTTAATTTCCGACATTACTTGAAGTACAATTCCTACCGAGATTGTGTTATTTGAACATAGAAAGTACATAATAATAATACAAATAAAAAATGTTTGATTTGGAGCGGAATTCCGACCCATAATCATAGGTTATTGGCTTCAATTTGTATAACAAACGAGCATACTACTAGATGACGGAAATAAATGTAGTATCAAGTTAATAGCTACATCTTACACCAGAACAGGTCAAACGCAAATCTGAATACGCACCACTTCACTACACCAAAAACGTAGGAAACTACATACCCCAAAACGAACTAGCCAGCAGTTTAACGAAAATCTTCAACTCCAGTAGACATCACTTTGCAGAAAAATACCTGTAAAAACTTACAAGCATTCTAGGAAGATTACATACCTAATTCCCCAGTCAGTGGTCGCAGATGTTCTGAAATTCTGACTGACATATCAAATAGGTAATTTTTGATCGATATCTAGATGTCCTGGAGCTTATCACTCCATAGTAAAAATTTGTTAACGAAAAAACAAATCAAGAGGTTAGAAGGACACGTACGTTTATTATTTATCCAATTAAATATTTATTTTTAATCCTTAGTACATTTTATTTTTAGCATCGATTTTCTATGCTTCAATATTTATTATACCAGTTAACCCAATGATTTGAAACTGAGATCTGTAAGTCTCAGCTTCAATTTTCGAAGCGTCTGCCGACTGAGAAAACTAATTCATAGATGTTTTCGGCTTCGTGTATTTGACACTAGTCACAGCCAAAGCAGTTATTTGAAACGCTGACTACCTAGACTGGGTAAGGTGAAAAGATTAGAATCGAATAGATAGATAAAATGCCCAAACTAACAAATCAGAAGTCAGTAGTTTGCTAAAATACATCCAGTTACATATTGGTATCATTACTAAGGCTCAATTTGATCAGTTTAAGAAGACTGAGTATTGGTTAGATTGCTTAGAAAAATGATGACATGTTCTTAATATCTAAATCAGTAGAAAATAAATTCTAGGGTATTTCATGACTACTTGTAAACCAACTCTTCAAAGAATATGAGTGAACAAGCAAATTAAGTTTACAGATTCGATTGTGTCGATTGTAACTCCTTTTTTATTGGAGAATTATCACGTGAAATCTTGACTTGAGCCAAAACAGTATCTAAGCTACCCACAAAAGCTACCAGATAATCTTAAATAATTTGAAAAACTCCAAACTAAATCGTCAGTATTGGTGTATACCATTTATTAGAACCATCAAATCGATGTTAAGAATATCGAATTCAAAAAGGCTTTATCAACTGCAAAGAAAGGTGATCAGTTAAAGCTTTATATATATAATCATGTAGAAATATGAGGTTTCTGATAATTGGATTGATTCAGTTCTTGACGTCTGAAGCCTCAAACTCACAGGATGCCTAAATTTGTATGCAATCGACATCGGAAGTTGCAAACCATATTTACTATCATAATCAGGAAAACCTAATTTGTTGACTTGAAAATAGTATTGATCGGATGTAATTTGATGTAACATCAAATACAAACAAAGTGACTATTACTTTATTTACACTTTCTGTATATAAGAAAATATGGGGACAAATTGACTGAGTTATTTTTATAAGGACTGAGTACGTTTGACATTTACGATGTACTTGCAACAAGTAAAGTATGTGGAATTGTGAGGTAAATGAAGAACTGCTATTGTTTTGAAATTAAATGTTAATGAAAAAATTGTCTTATCATTGGACAAAAATCTAATTTTGACGTTGCTGATCATGAATTTGTTTTAATAAAGTCTTGAATAGACTTGAAAAGAACGTTGGAAACCTACTTTAGACATACGGTCGGTTACATAGACATTTTGTCTCTAAGTAATTGGTATACTTCATATAAAACTATCTAGTGAAGTTATCATTTTATTAATCGCTCTTTTCACAACCATTTTTATGAGACCCTACGGAGAACAATCCTGTAGGTTCATAACAGATTTTATTATCTACCACAGATATTTACTTAATTTTTATTTAGATTCTTAGGGTTTAAAAAATGTGTGTTCAGGAAACCAACATGACAGTAATCTTTTAACTGATTAACAGTAAAAGTATGAAATAACTCTGGTAATCAACTACATCGTCACAGTACACTGTGTATGAGCGAACTTGCGGGAAATTAGAACTTGTACGGCGAAAATGATGCGATCTAGATCCTGATTGTTCAAATAGAGACAATAAGTTATCTTGAAAGTTCTCATCACTTCTCGATCTTGGTGGTCGAATTAATTACAAATAACGGACGAATATCGATGAAATGGTGAAAATACATTTGGCGCTTAATTTCATTTAATTCAGTTACCATAAATCTCAAAGTTAAAAAGATTTGTCCCAATACATGTTGAACTAATAGTATGAATGGAGTATAGTAGGATTAGGATAGAAATCAGTCTTTCCATAATTATTCCACATTGGAAGATTGAAAACTGAAGTACGAGAAACTTGAAGGAACATAAAGACTTAATTATTACAATTGAAGAAACAGCAATTCCAAATCCAAACCAATTAAAAAACTATGGACTGAATTACAATTAACAATGTTGTAAATGTGATATCTAGAATCCTTATAAATAGCGACCGAAGTATGTCTGTGAAAAACGTTCCTTTTGTCTAAGCATAACCATGCACATGAGTACTGGTACAACTAGGTGTAGAAGTGCTTCGCAAAAATAAAGCCATATTATTGTGGAAAACTGAAGGGAGTAGTATAATCGATCAATAAATGAATAAAAACAGTGTATGATATGAAGTTAATTTCTGTAAAAAATGAAAACAACGAGGACTTATCACATTTAGGAAAGCTTATCTTCTTTTTATGAAAAGCATGATGGAAAAGTACGGAATTACCAATGCTGGCTTTTGTTATCAGGCCTATCTGATAGCACCTCGAGGCGCTAACGTTTACGAGTCTGAGAATTTCAATAAGATAGCCATCATGAATCAAGTGATCCAGGTTCTATACAGCTGTTTTATGTACCACGACGCGGCGTCATAAGCTGACCCCTTCTCCACTATCCACACTGTCTTAAAGTTGGTAAACGATGGATAAAATGCAACTTGCTGGGATGATATCCGTGAAACAATAAAACCACAATCATTGTTAACAGCCGGATATGAATCACTGTGCCTGCATAGACATTCCCGGACCTCGGAATTACTCATATAATGTCACCATATATGAGCAATTTTTCAGAGCAATTCAAATCAGACTAAACAGTACGGAAACAAAAATTGCAGGCCGAAGTCAACTTTAACTGTTTTCTTTTTTTTGTTTTTGAGTACTTTCGAGTTATACGCGATGACATGCAAGAGGAAGTTAATTATTCTGGCGGGTTCTTTAACAAATGACTTTTGTCACTATTATTATCAGTTAGATAAAATAATATAAAACTTACATTTCAGGTTGAAGTTTTTTGATACAATAACTAATCACTAGGAAATACCAGATTAATTAGGAAGGATTCCAGGTAGACATACATTTTCCTATGAACATTACTATATCACAATATTTTTTAGTACTTTTCAGGTAAAACGTTAAAATGTGCTATTTATACATTTATTACTCATGACCACAAAGTGAACGTGTTGATTCAAAACATTTTGTACAGGTTATGAAGTTTGATTTTACCCTGATGGCAGATTGAAGCACTTGTGGACTAATTAATTTACTGCCTTTCGCAACAAAAAAGATGCTAATTAAGTCTATTATTACCTGCTTGTAGGCATACAAACTAACATTTTCAACGAAACACTATGTATAATAATAGTTTGTATAAATTGTCATAAACAGCATTCCATATCATGATCTCATTTGCAAGAGGTCTGTTCACAGTAGACGCAAGATATAAGTGAGAGGTACGGATAAAAATGACGGGAAAAACGTGAGAAAGAAGATCTGCACATACTTTTAGAGTTTTAATTCGAAAGTGTAGCCTTTTAGTGGGAACTGAGCTTGATAAATGATTTCCAATATTTCTTAGACAAAAATAAGGAACAGTACGTTTATAAAGCTATGAAACATTAGGGAAGTTGATATAAATATCATAAATTTACTGAAATAAGATGATTGACACAAACAGTGTTTAATCTGGAACTTAAGATAACGAATCAATGGTGTTATGTAACTAATTTTACTTAGTGCCCATGAATTCGAAGCGTAAGTTTATAGAAAGCATCCCAAATTGAAAGATTGTAAGGATTGAGGCGTCAACTAAGGGAATTTTTAGTCTTCTACAAACAGTTTGTATGAAAATGACCACTGAATCGTATAAAAACAAAGCCGATTAGAAAGAAAACGAAATTCCGAGATTTAAGTATCTTTTGAATGATGAAACGCATGAATGTAATGCATTTCATGATTTAATATAACGCATTAACCCTATACAAGTTAATGCACCACCTGGGTCCCAAAAGAAATTAATAAGGGTTTGTACCAGCCACACATCCGTTGGTAACCGAGTGCTTTAACTACTTGAACTTTAAGACACGCTGCATTTATAGGAATCTGTTGATAAAGATATGGAAACATATTCTGAATCGTGTGTACATAACAATGTGCCTCTTACCTTGTGCGACCAGTGCTCCAAGTTCTCCAACGATAGATGGAGGACACAAAAGACGTCCCTGAGTCAAATCCCGACGTATTTGAAGATATACCAAGTACCTATAAAGAAATAAAAGGGACCAAAGACAATAAAAACTGAAAGGGAGAACTATATTTCAAAAATCACACAGTTTAGATTACCCACAATACATACACTTGGTTAGTTTCATCACAAAACTAACCGAAATAAGAATAAGTGAAAATATAGTAACAGAATTGGCTAAACATTATGTTTTAAACACATATTTTCCTAAGAAAATATAAAAGCAAATGATTCAGACTCTTTTTTATTATCACATTAAATTTAGTAGGACAGCTTGAAGAGAAAATTTATAAGTGGAAACTTTCTTAGAGAAAAATTCCCATATAAGATTCCTTAATAATACGCCAAAGTAACTTTTGTAATGACCCTAAGCATAATTTCAACCAAAGTCATATCAACCAATTCAAAAGTTTACGGTATTCGTCTTCAACAAATCCACATTCTAGTTATACGGAAACCCCGGAAATGAACTTCACTAAGCATACCCAAAATGAAGAGAATTCGCAAAACTATAGTGTAGTCAACAAACTTGTGTGTTAGTGTGCGACTGACAATTCCTAAATATCAGCTTAGTGCAGAAACTGCAAAACTAAAAGGGCTGCTGGAAGTCGGTCGCGTTAAATCTTTGTTAAGTGTTTATGTTTACATGGTTAACGTGATATTTTTAACACACAGCACTAGCACAATAAATTAACAGGGTAGAAATGTTTTCTATTTTAACTGACTTTCTGTCCCCTTCTTTCAGTGAGCATTATTGCTGAAGTAATTAATTACCACTGATAACTCTGCACCGAGCGCAATATTTAAAGTACATGTTAAAATAACATAGGTAAACAAAACGTCATTAATAAAGTCTCTTTTGGAAAATTGAATTTGTTTCGATTTCTGTACAAGGAAGTATCTGTACTAATTTAAAACACAGCTGTGAAGTTATGTATAAATGCAGAAACAAGAGCCACGTCGATGAAAATTTGTAATATGAATGGTCTCAAATAATACTGAACAGAACAAAATATTTGACTTGACGAAATACCGTGTATATTATCATTAGACTATCAATGCCTCCAGGTAAAGACCAAAGCACATGAAAATATGCAGAAAAAAAGCAAGCCTTAACACATCAATATGAGACGCTACACTGAATAATTACATCCTCTCCCAAAGGGCTACGAAGAAATCACTTGAACTACTTTAGCTGATATGAATTTTGAGACCTGACAACCGTTATACAGTAGAAAGTATGATTACAATCCATACTACTGCTCTAGACTTTCAGTTCCAAAGGGTTCATACACGAGTTTAGTACCAAGACTAGCCTTGAACTATATATTTCATATATTGTTCGATGACATTTATAATCTGTAATTTATTATTAAGCTAGAACTAAATATTCAGATCCTGATTATAAAATACTCCGAACATTAAATTTGTTCCCGAGACGAAAAATTAAAAGCTATATACAACAAAACGTGAAATACCTGGAAATACTTTGCGCCAAATCATTGACAGGATCCGGTGGATAATGTTTCACACGGAAGTTTACCACGAAAGACTTACAATCTACAAAGCATATATGTTATCACATTAACAGGTACCTTTAAGCTGTTTATAGACACTTTTATCTAACTCTAGCCATTGCTAAAAGATGTACTGGAAAGAAATAAAATCTACCCGTATATTATCTTTGTCGGTATATCTCAACCCGAAATAGTCGCATTCAACTAAGTCACCTATGGACTGACACACTTTTTTAAAAAGAACCGAACCACTGTCAGCTTTCTAAAGCATCACTTATAACATATAACGACCAACCTTTATTGTAAACTCAATAGGAGTTTGGGTATCATCAAGTAACCTGACTTTACAATGGATTGAATCATCAGTGATGGTGTTGGAATGTGGAACTTTTTCGCTGTCCCCGTTTTCAGGGTCATCTGTTCTCCGTTTCTTTGGGGACTCTTTATTTTTATTCCTTCCTGATAACTTCATTTAGGACTTATCAACGATAAAACAAACAGAACACTAACAGCGCGCCAACCAAAGTCCCGCTCATGAACGTGTGCCTTCCCTATGTGACTAAACAAGTAATAACCATAAATCTTAGACTTGAAGTGGTCATTTTATGTTACTTAATTTATTTTCTAATTTGACCTTCCATGTTTGCGAAATGTTGGAATCAGTCGACAGTAGTAGTATTATAAGCAACTTACATGCATACTAACTTACACCTGTTACCCATCCTGGAGAAGCATAGGCCGCCACTAGTACCCTCAATCCAACCCTGTTCTGTTCCTTTCCAGTTCTTCCCAGTGAACATTCATTCTTTACATATTTGTTTCTATTTACCGGCTTAATGTCTTCTTTAGTTACCACTTTTCCACATCCCTTCAGAATTCCAAGTTCGGGGTTGCTTCGTGATGCAGTTTAGCGATTTCCTCAACGTATATCCAATCCACTTCTAATGTCTTTTCATAATTTCCTTTTCTGCTGGAAGCTAGTTTGTCCTCTCCTATAAAAGTCTGTTGCTGATAGTATCCGACCAGTGAATGTTGAGTATTTTGCGTAGACAACTATTCAAAAATACTAGTACATACTTGACGATGGATGTAGTAGTTCTCCACGTTTCAGCTTCGTACAGTAGGACTGTCTTGACGTTCATACTGAAGACTCTCACTATGATTTTGATTGACAGTTGTTTTGGGTTCTTTATGTTCGCCCATTCCAGGAAGGCGGTCCTTGATTCGCCGATCTTCTCCTGAACGTCCGCATCACATTATTCTTGTTCATCAGTGATGCTCTCGAGATACGTGAATGTTTCCACTCTTCGTACTTATGTTCCGCTTTTTTAACAAAACATGTTTTTGTGATAAGATTAAATTTCGTTTGCTAGAGACAACTTAAAGCGCATATTTGTAGTATATAATGAAGTAGAATACGCCCTATTCACCTACATTTCGGCATTTCAAAACTTTTACATATTTAACAATTTTCACTAGCTTGTCGTAAATAACTAGTTTGAGTTTGAAGATCATCAACGTCGACGATTTATCGTTAATGATTGATCGCCTATTCGTGTTAGACGAGTATGGTGTGACTAACAGCTAACGTCGAATTCACACCTCTCATTCAGTAGCTAAAATGATTTACCGCTTCGTTATATCAAGATTTTTTTGCTGCTTTGATGATCGTATAACACGTAGGACGTAATTAAAGTTATGTAATAGAGTAAGTACAAACGAAAGTGTTCTCACCACCGCATGGCCAAGTCCATAGTGTAAAATAAACTGAATCGCGTTGGTTGTGCTTGACTTTGTTGGAGATTGATAAACTGTTCAATATTCGTTTCCCCAGCAGACGGATGATTTGTCTAGGGCTCGGGGACATTTCACTAGCCCTGCAAGTTACTCTAAAAAATACATTTTCTACAGTATTTCATACAATTTTCTCGTTGCTATTCCTTACCAGTTTGTATCAAAGTATTTGCCTCTGCAAAACAGAATGGATCTATCTGCCATCTTCATCACATCTTGTTAATAAACTCCGCATGTAGCTTTTTCAGAGTTACTGCCGAGCCCAAGCCACGGTAAAGAAGGAGGGTTGAGCATGAAGTTGACAACCCCATACCGCAGAAAAAAGTCATGCTAGAAAAACGCTAACCAGAAAAAAAATTCAAGCCGTTTAAACTTTGCCCTGGGAGTTGAAGGAAGGATTATGACGCCTCAGGATCAAAGCCAAGATTTTTCAAATGTCACAAGGCCGATGCCTCTTCTAACAACCAGAGCAACACTCTTTATAGGTACACGGAACGTCCGAACAATGTGGGAGACCTGGAAGACCTATCAAATAGCAATGAAAATGAGGAGTTACAAATTGGCAATACTCTGAATCAGCGAAAACCATTGGACACAAGCTTGACAGCAAAGGCTAGATATGGGAGAGATGTTGCTGTACTCGGGTCACGAAGAGGGAAATGCTTCACATACTCAGAGAGTTGCTTTACTGTTGTCCAGAGAAGCATGAAATGCATTTGCAGAATGGGAACCTCATGGATCCAGGATAATCAAAGCATAATTCAAAACAAAGAATGAGGGGGTCACAATGGACGTTATCCATTCTTATGCACCAAAAATCATAGCAACGACGGTGATAAAGATCATTTCTACCCGAGGTCACGACCAATTATAGTGTGGTGCTCAAGAAAGGACCTCAACATCTTGATGGGGGATCTAAATGCTAAAGTTGGAGTGGACGACACAGGATATGATGATATAATTGGACGACATGAACTGGGAGAGAGAAATGAAAATGGGGAGGGATTTGCAAATCTATGTGCATTCAACAAATTGGTTATAGGTGGCACAATATTTTCACACAAACGCATGCACAAAGCTACATGAATCTCGCCCAAACACATCTCAGAGAACCAGATAGATCAGATAGAAACTGAAGCTGAAGAAACATTGGACAACTGGAGGAATAGCATTACAAAGGTTCAATACAGCCTCCTTTCGAGATACTAACAAACTCAACGAATCCAAGATAACTCTCAACAACAGATTCCAAGCTTTACAGAATCTACTGAAAGAACCAGAAACTACGATGGAAGACAATCTGAAGGGAATTAAGAAGCATTAACTTCAACGTGTCATGAGGTTGTGGGCCACGAAAAGTATCGTCATAAGGAATGGATCTCTACGGGGGCACTGAACAAGATTGAAGAAAAGAAGAACAAGAAAATAGTAATTAACAACAGTCAAACACAAGCAGAGAAAGTCAAAACACAAGCAGAGTACACTGAAGCAAATAGGAAAGTGAAGAAGAGCATTAAAACCAACAAGCAGAAATATATGAGCAAACTAGCGAGGACAGCGGTAAAAGCTGCAAGAAAAGGGAATAATGAACAATTATATGATACAATGAAGTAACTAGCAGGCAGATATAGTAAACCAGAGGAAACGGCTAAGCATAAAGAAAGAAAGACAATCACAGAGATTGAAAAACAGAGGAAAAAATGGATAGAACAATCCCATTGAATCCATTGGATATTGAGGCAGCACACACACCTTCCTATAGATGTCACTCCGCCAAAGATCGAAGAAATCAAGATGGCCATCCGACAACTCAGGAGTGGGAAAGCAACAGGACCTGACAACATACCAGCCGAAGCACTGAAGTCAGACATTCAAGTAACCGCAAACATGCTACACCTTCTGTTCAAGAAGTTTTGGGAGAAAGAACAAGTGCCACCACCTAACTGGAAAAAAGGATACCTCATCAAGATACCAAAGAAAAGATATCTGAGCTAATGTGAGTATTACAGACGCATCACACTGTTGTCAGTATAAAATCCAAACTACGTTAGGGTGAATAATAACTGTCTGTGGAGTAGATGTATTTACGCGCGACCCAATCGAAATCAGAGTTAGGTGATTGGATTAATAACGGTTCTAAAATTCATCATATATACAAATGTACAATTTTACCTGAACAAATATTACCATTCAGTTATTCAACCAACAATTGTTCCCACAATAATCAATCTAAATTGCAATAAATAGCAAATCGATAAGAAATATCAGAAAATTAACGAACGATTCAAAAAGTAAGTGTTATTCTATCCTTTCTAGATAGATGAAGTAAAAATTCACTCAATGAGTTTCTTTTTAACACAAAGTGTTTTAAATTCTGGGAGAGTGCTCCAATTTACAACAAAAATGCACGATCCCAGTAAAGTCAAGTAGCACAATCAAAGAGGGAACAATTAATATGGCAGCCGCCAATAAGTAACGCATTTTGTACATAACCATTTTAGGTTGATTATATAAATTCTTGTGAGTCACTAACTCGATAACTAGGTCGTATAGACTGCTATAAGTGGACTCAAGCGCTTTTCGACATTACAGTCGGTTCTGTTTGAAGTCATGAATGTGCAGGGCTTTACAAGGCTAACATTCGGATACTCTTTTTGTACACTTACTTACCTAGTCATGTTATCCATCATAGAGGAGCATAGGCCGCAAACTAGCATTCCCCATCCAACCCTGTCTTAGGCAATCCTCTCCAGTTGCTATTCATCCATTTTATGCCTGCTTCCAATTTATCACTCAGTGCTTTCTTTGGTTTTCTTATGTGTTTCCCTTTGCTTACCTCGTCATGCAGTTTGATTTCCGTAATGCATCACCTATCCACTTCCAACGTCTTTTCGTTTTTAAACAGCTGGAAGCTGTGAGGATACGACTAGTATTCTAACTTTACAATTAGCTACCAGTAGCACCTTCTATATTCCATCGTTCCCGGCCAAAGGAAATCGGAAGTCAGACGAGAAGAGGTAGGAAAAATATATTTGATACCTTACCAATATATCGAGAGGCGTTCGTTATTAAGTGACTATTGAAACGTAGGAGCTGTGTCCCACGCCGAGTTGCAACGTGATCTGGTACGGATGCATGAACGAAAGCCTTCAGCTAAACAAGTCGACTTAAACAACGTGGTCAGCATCCAATTTCGAACACTTAATGAGCTATTGATTTTGGGTAATTATTTACAGCTACAGCTGGTTCATTCTCGCCCACAGTAGGCTGTCGCTGATGGTATAAGGAACCGGAAAAATAACTTTGAACACGAAAACATTTACCTGCCCCAAGCAAACGGGATAACAAAACTGACTTGATATTCCAAAAGACGCCTCGAATTTAAGCCGAAAATATACATATACAAATTGGTTTCACACTTGACAATTCGCTGACAAATATCACATACAAGAGAAATATAAAAATGCACACCACACAAAATCACCATAGAACCCACGCCGTACCTTATACAGAACGTAGTTCATGAGAAATAATATTAAATATTCATATTAAATTGAATGAACTTGACACTAAAACAATAACAAATGATATCCCCAAAACTTAAACATTAAAACAAAAGGATGGGTGCTAAACAGCGCACTTATTACATTAAATTAAAAATATTGAACAGCAATCCACACGAAATTGAGACATGTTCTCAAGTGTCCATTATCATTTCGAACCCTTGTTTTATATTCTCTGTTCTGAAAAATATTTTAAGAATCTTAGGCAGTGGCCAACATATTAGAAATAAATGGATCTACATAACTCGGTCTTTTTCATCGCATAATTAAACGTGTTGACCATTGAGAACATTTTCAACTGTTACTCATATTTCTCTTTGTCAGTATCACCAAGATATAAAGTTCGGCATCGAGCTGAGAGTTCGTCTCATTATTTAATACCTCATATCAGATATGTATTCTCAACAGGATCCCAGTTGTACCAAATGTTTTATTTGTCCATCAGTTAAGACCTAATTAATTAAAGAATCATGTCTACAGTACGACTGACAATTATAAACTGTACGACTGTAAATGAACAAGCAATGGAAAGACTACTTCTGTCACACCATTTCAACCCATCACACGATATTGTTGTAAATTCTAAGTGAACAATGAAAATGGCTTCAACAATATAACTAAATTTCTCACTACACTAATATTGCACAAATATCGATAGTTGGAGACACAATTTCTTTAAATAAATAGAGTAACTAAACCTAAATCAAACCACACACTCATGAAAGTAATTGTGAGTCCACCTTTAGTATATTCAATGACTTCTTAGTTTGCATGCTAGGTTAGTAGCCATCCCAATCCAACTGATAACACTTTAACCTAATATTATTATTACCGAAATTACATTGATTTTCAAACAGTTCTAAATTCAAATGGTTTTCAACTATGTACAACAATCAACTGACAAATTCAAACCACTATGCTATTATTCTAATTGATTCGTGTCATTATTATTCCACCGAATATAGGATGTTTCTGCAGTCATTTTGACACTGATTTAGTTGTTTGATTTCAGCGTCATACAGTATCTAATCTGGGCAAAATCCATGGAAGTTAGATTAAAACGTTTTATTTATTTCATACGTTGATATACAAAACTGCTCAGCTGTTGCCAACGGCATCAAATACTCAAAGGAATACAGATGGTACAGAAACACTTAAAGTCAGCAACTCTTGAATCATTTATATCTGATTCTTTTTGGCTCCGTAGCATTACTGATCGTGTTTTAATGCGACAACACGTGATGAAAACTCGGATTCAAAACTTCGTGCATTGTACGACTGGTCGTTGGTTTCGATTCTTTTCTCATTGCAGCGATTTCTAAACGTCAAATGTTTTTATATTGCTAACAACCTAATGTTTATGAGCATTTTCATTATTTCTTCTAACTATTCATGCACATTTTAGTAGTCCTTAAAAACTTACTAAGCTAATGCACAAATATATAGTGTTTCCACAAGGATGGTATTCAAAATATCATGCTTCATAAGCAAGAATAAATCAAACGCAGGGAATTATCAGAATTATGGTGATTTCTGAATAAACTACTTCTAAGTATACTTCAGACCATTGATTACCCAGCAGGTATCAGTGAACCTTTATATTTTTTACAAGTATGATGGGTATTGCACAGATACTATCATTCACTTCATAAGTTTTAAAGCAACAAAAGTAGAATGCATTGGGTTTTTTCGGCAGAAACTCCTCCATGAATGTAGTAGCCAACAATGTTAGTAAACAAAATTCAATTGTGACTAGAAAGAAAAAACGACACCTTGAATACTATTTGACACTGAAAGAAAACTGATACAAGTTGAACACTTTTATGCGTTCACATTCATCAAAGCAATGAAAACATTTATTTTTCACAATTATGTAAAACTTTTTACCGCCATAGAAGAAAAATTAGAAATCTTATGATAGTTGTAAAGAAGAAGATATCCAAAATGAAAAAAGTACACTGAATTCTTACACGTTTAACGATTATCGACAAAAGAAAATATGAATAACCAAAAGTTTTACAGCAAGAAACGTTTCAGTGTAGTTTGTCTGGCCTGAAAAATAAGGAGACAGAAGGACTGAACAAAAATAAATATTGCAATTCGTTGTATCGTTTAACAAATTATTATCTACTACTACTAATATCAGTGCCGACATGGTAAACAAAAATACTAGCATCATACTGATAAGGTTAATAAAAATATTTAACACTTTTAATTGACCAGCAGTAGTAAAAAGAAGTACGAAAATCATCTGTAAAAAATGTGTAGATAAACATTCAGAAAAACAAAGGATGTAGTCACGACTCCAGTTTCTAATACCCGTAAATATACACTGCTCATTTATTGAAAATAGAATGTTTTCCATTAGTTTTCCTACAGAATTAAAGAGGAATCGGTGATAATCAGTTTAAATTTGTTAACTAATAGAATCGCTTCATTTGCCTCTGACGCTTCTTGTAGTATTTATAGCCCATATATCCACCGCCACTAATAAGTCCAAATACGAATAACCAAGAAAATAATGTGATTACGCGGCTAAATCTCGATGGTGGAGTATCATCAACTCGAGCTAAAAAAGAATGGAAAAAATTACATGAACATCTACAAAAAGTGATGGCTGAATAACACTTATCACTGGGAAGTGTTGCTCCGAATGCAGAATACTTATATTATTCTAATCATGATTCGACTAATAGTAGTGTATTTTTTCTATACTCTAGTGTTTTGACCTATAAAATTACGGTTACACTATAGGCGAATTGTTTAAATAAGCCAGCCACATTTTAAAGACTATGACTGTTAATTAGAATTAATTACTATTGTAAAAATAGCTACTGATTTTAGACTTCAAAGAATCACCAGCGGCCAGTCATAATCAGTTGAATTTTTGCGTAGATCAGCCGTAAAAATGAATGTGTACACAACCCTAGTAGTTATTGTTACGTCCATAAATACTAAACAATATGACTGAAATCTAAAACTTAAAGTGGAGGAAAACTGTAATCACACACCTTACCTGAATAATGCAATCAGAAGACGAAAGTCGTTAGAATTATTTGATGTATTTACATAATACATTTGTTTTAACCCTGAACCTATCCTGGCAATCCAGAGTGGCTTTTATACTGTGTACTTTATTATTATTTAACTTGTCCAGTCGACATTTTTCTATTCTTTGTACGAATATTCGTCAAGGTTAGAACGACTAGTTTGACAATAATTGGGCGCCGAGTATAGATTTTTCTATTCTTTCCATACATGACGTCTTAGCAAGTATATGTGTGACCAAACTGTTCGAAATTCGTTGCACAAATAAATCACATAATTCCGATAACTTTCATCTTCTGATCGCACTATCTAGATTTGTCAAACGCCAAAGTGAATATAACTTCACCCGATTACACAAGCCGGACTCAGTAGCTAAGTGGATAACGCAATGGTGTTTGAAGCGAACGGTACTGGGTTCGAGTCCCAGGGTGAACATCAACTATGAGATGCAGGTAAATCCGGCTGACGAGTCCCAAATAGGACGAAACGCGAGTCCTGGATTCCATTGCTAGCCACTATACATCTTTGCTTATAAAAGAGACTATTTTATTTGTTTAAATCTGTCCACTTAAACAAGCTGCACAGTGAAATCAGCACAAGTTACTATTTCATAGAAGTGTAGATTATTTAATATCTGACGTCTTATATATTTCATCACAAATAAGAATAGTAAAGGTAAACAACTGACAATGCACTAGTTAAATTTAAAGGGAAAGTAATGTTTACTAGAAAAACTTTTCTGCATGCTATTTACTAAACTGTCAGAATTCCAATAAGTCCAGAACCATTAACTTTTAATTTTATGTTGTAGTGAAATAAGACATAACAAGACTAGAGATAAGAGAACACAGATAGCTCCTTCTCGAAAGCCAGCTCAACAAACCAAGCAATTATCAAGTTTTCATTTTTCCGAAACTATGCAGTTCAAAGAATATATTTAAATTCACTTCTAAAAGTAGACGACTCAATAATTGAGTTTAACTCTTTAGTTCTAAAGTTGTTTTACGTTTTTGTGTCCTTAGGGTGAGAAGTAATAACAGAGCTTCTGAATTGAATTCTTGTAAGATCACAGTATTTTATTGGAGCGAAATATATATATATATATATATATATATATAATACTCCTAGTTCCGAATACAGAATGAAAACAATAACTGATGAAAATTCGTTGGTCTTCGCATTTACAGACCTACAATAATAATGTAAAAACAAATGGGCAACGAAAATTATATTTGGAAATTGATATTGACAGACCTCTTGGTGCAGCCTCCTGATCAGCTGATGGTTCAATTTTAGAAAAGTCAGCGAACGGATCGTCCTGTAAAAGAAACAAATATCAAGGCTAGTAGTAAGGACAAGCACATGTTCACAGTAAAAAGTTGGAAGGTTATTTAATAACAAGTCAATGACAGCGGTTTAGTCCAATAAGATCTTACCACTACAAATAGTTTACAATCAAACATAAACAAATAAATAATTACTGGAAAATTAGGACAGTTGTTTTGCCATGAAAGGTAATTTTCAATAAAAGGGCTATTAATTTCGCCATAATAAACCGAAAAATACCATATTATAACCAAAGTGATCAATAGCGAAAGAGCTGATTGCTTCCGTTAAACACACCTGTTAAGCGGGAGAGAGCTCTAACATTTAGCTGAAAATACTATGGTTCTACAAATTAATGATTTTTTGGCGAGAAATGATGTGATTTCTGAGACCACTGACACAACAACTAGAAATTACTTACTCTATAGACAAATTAACAAAGTAAGAAATCTTGGCAGGTTGTCAAATTGAAACTAAAATAACACAGACGTATTGATTTGGTTGAAAGAGATATATTTCTGCAGAGAAGTTCTGTACTATGATATCCTAAATAAAACCAATCAATGACGAATACAACTTACAAATAAAGCCAATTACCATAAAATCACTTTATCCAAACTATTGCTATGAACTAAAAATTCCCATGGTGTAAATTAAAACGACAAATCTAAGCGAAAAATGATGTTTTTAACAGGATTTACATTATATATGAGAACGACTAGACCAGTTAAGGCAATTCATAAGTCAATTATATAAATGGAACAGATTATATAACTAAAAATAATGATAATAATCAGCGAAATGTACAAATTCGTAGTACAATGACATGTGTGCAAATCGTGATAAGAATAATAACATCGTAAATAAATGATTCAGCATAAAAAGTAGGTCAGAATAAATAACAATCAATAAGAAATTGGATGCGCAACATCGCAAATTGATTGGAGTTAGATATGTAAACCACTGGATGCTGGACCAGTGGTTCAAATTATGATCACTGGCTGCAAGATTTAAATTTCCTGGGTTTGATCCCTATTAGATCGTAGATGCCCACCCATGAGGAGTTCATACTAAGTCACAATAGCTGTCCAGTGGTTTCTCGTTCTCAGTGATTTTCGAACCAAGACTAGTCCCTGATAAGTTGAATGGTTCAAGTTGCCACGCCACATTAGCACTACAAAACTAAATTAACAAGGCAAATCGCAGAGTAGTAGAAATAGTCAGACTATCAATCTTAGTAGAAAAGACTACCCATTGATGATATGATCCTTAAAATAATGAGGAATCAGCGGACTTAAAAAAGTATAAGACAAATTCAGAACTCAGGATTCAGGGGAATTCAAACAGTAAATGCATCTGAGCCACTGCGACCGGTTTTCAGCCATATAACCCATTGTCTCTAACTGTTGGTTACGATAACCACACGAACCCCGATCAGGTAACCTAAACCTACCAACATGGTTCGACTCAAATCTGTGACTTCATGGACTGATATATAAATCTTGTTTTGGCCGCCCGTAGCTTTTTCCAAACCTAATCCCACATCAGCCAAAATCGCGCATCGAGGTATGCGATGGTCGAGGATATCTAACACGTATCCTAAACATTTCAACTGATGAAAATTCACTGCCTCATCAACAGACTCTTCAATATTATCGTATGCCTTGAGTCAAACCTCAAAATTACTCAGTGATCTCAAAATATGCGTACAATCATTCGAAAGTGTCTAATCGGATACCAGTAATCTTTAAATGTCCTATATTTTTAACAATTAAGCTTTACAACCATAAAATAGAACATGGACAATTGCTACAACGTAATTCCGTGTTTTTTTGTGTAACGGACATCTCGTCTACACCACAAGTAATCCAGGTTAGCAAGAGTCAGACGAGCTTTTGGAACCGTGAAGAAGTTTCACTAGACACCAACCCAATATAATCGATGAGACCGTTAAGAGGGTAACCCTCTCAACTATTTCACTCATTATCATCGGTAAGGGAGTTGACCCAGATTTGTCCTAAAGCAACATTTAACACATAATAAACATTAAAAATTATCAATAAGAGGTATCCAAATAATCAGAACAATTATATAGATAGTGAAAAAGAGATAAGTAAAGGGTAAAGAATAAAAACCAAACAAATGATATGAAAAACTGGTAACATCGTCCATTACGTTTTATGAAGCTAAGGAAGAAGTAAGTGTTACGAATCTCTCCTGCGCACAGACTAGAGCTAGGAGCTCGGAACCCTATGGATTCTGATGTGTGTAAGAGACAAGATCGAACCTTGCTGTGAAACTTCGAAAATATAACAAAAATCACTTGGATAATTTAGTTCTATTGACCACATGACTACTATCAACCAAGTACGATGAAACGGAGCTACAAATTTTCCCTGTTTCACCCCTTATCCACCACACAAAGAGACATTCATTCATCCTTTAGTTAAGTTGCTTGTTGTCAAGTGTTCTTCACAGGAGCAGCTGATATAATAACATCATGAACTTGTGAGGATGAGTGTGACAATAATTATAATATCTATTCTGACTTCCAATGTTGAATCATTTATTTACGATGTTATTATTCTTATCACACATGTCATCTTACTACATATCTATACATTTTACTGATTATTATCATTACTATTAATCATGTAATATATTCCATTATTATCATGTAAATTGCTTTAATTAGTTTACTATTTTTTCATACGTGCAAATAAATATTACTTCAAATAGAAGTGAGGTCTGAAGATATTACTGAGGACAATATTGTTTGTTTACATGTTTATATGTATATTCCTTAAAGCACTCTTTGTTACACGTAACACACGTTCTCTTACATACGGAGAACTAATAAGCAGAAAGGCTGAAAGAGAGAGAGTAAATTTCCAGTTTACTGACTACTATTTCATTTGATAAAAGTAAACATATGGAATGAAAACAAAAATTCAACTAATGTATTCTGTATCATGTTAAAGAGGTTAACTATTATCAAGAATTTAATTCATAAATTTACGTCAAACAATATGAGATCATATAAGACTATACAAATTTAAATATATTAACACAAAACCAATTGTTAAACACTGTATGATATGATGTATTAATTATTAAAGAACCACTTTAACAAAATAAATTTTGTCAAGTACAAAAACAATAAAGATTATGAGATGAAGAAAGATAATTTTAAGACAGAATTTCTCATGCATAGACTAATATGATTTTAAAGAAATATAGTTTTGCAAGTGAAATTTACGGAAAGGTGTTTGTGTTTATTTTAGTCTTGGAATGAGTTTTTGATACTTTCTACTCACAAATTTTACTTTTAAGACAATGAAGTGATCATCTTAACTCACTGTATTATACACATTGATTTTAACTTGAAAAAGGCATTAATTATATAAAACTTAACGTTTAAAAGTGATGCATCAATAAACAAAGTTTAACAACACGTGACAATCTCCTTTTTTTACACTTGTGTTGTGCCTCCAAAAGCCCTGGTATGGTTGAGATTGGGGAAGCCAGCCCTCTCTCTCGAAATGCTCTCACACAGCCATGCGTATACAGTCTCTGCCAGGGAAGTCTTACTCACTGCCTATTTGTGGTGCGAGTGTTGTTTGCAAAATTGAGAGGACGAAAAGCAAATGTCCGGCGCTTTAACCGGGTTAGTGGACACGGAAAGTTCACCTAGGGGAGTTGGAGGACCCTGAAATCAATGGTGCACATGGGCTCCAGTATCCTGAGGGAACAAATGGTGTATGAACCAATCGTTAGTCACCGGATACCATGGGAGTGCATCTCCTTACGATGCTCCACTGCCTTGTGGATCCACATCCACCAACCCGGTTGAAGCGCCGGACATTCGCTTTTCGTCCTCTCAATTTCGTAAACAACACCCCCGCCACGAGAAGGCAGTGAGTAGGACTTCACTGGCAGAGGCTATATATTCGCTGGCCATGTGAGAGCATTTCGAGAGGGAGAGCAGACTCTCCCCACTCTCTGCCGTACCAGGGCATTTGGGGGCCTAAGACTGGTTGTGAGCCATGTTATCCAAAATATTCGTCCGATGATCGGATTCAATAAAAGAACACAAAGCAGATAGTATTCGGAAACATTTAACATGGTTTAGTCCAACAATCAATGGCCTTATGGATTGACGCGACGTCTTGATTTAGCCACTCAGTTTTTTGCAACCTACTCCTACACTATCCAGTATTACGCATCGAGGTAGGCGATTATTGGACATACGTCACACGCTATAGCCATCTAATTTGATGAAGATTCACATCCTCATCAACTGGTTTGTCATGCTTTCCTAGCGCTCAACATATAACCTAGTGACTGTTTATTTCATTGTTTCCCTATACATTAGGAATGTTTCATGTAGGAACTATATGAAATCAAATGGGGAATGTTTCCTATACGAAAACAAGAGCGGCGTGAGGTGAAAGAAACATTAAACGCAAAAATATTCGATAAGAAGTTTTGATTTCAAGCTTGTTGTAACGCATCCGTTATAGGTGACCACGATTTCACAAATAGATGGTTTGAGTACGATTCTTTAACACAAAGAAATTCCAAGATGGAACTTTGGGTTTTCACTTATTGAACCGAAACAAATATACATGATGTGCTCATCCGCTTGGTTAATGACAATTAAGCAACTGAGTGGATAGGATTTGAGTTTTACCGGGGAAGTTAAGTCAATAGAGTACAGGTTTGTCCAGACTAGTTTCAAATGCAATGAAATGAATTCCTGACCTTGACTATTCTAAATATCAAAAAACGGTCTTTGTGGAACTGATTAGAACTTATCCAAATTTTTTTCAGAAAGCATTAGAAAGTACAGTCCTTAACAAGTTATTACTGATAAAAATACAAAATTATTATCAGCAGGTCATGGTAAATGAATTATGCATAGAACTAAAGCATAAATTCCTCGTTAGATAAACACCATTTAATATCTACAATCGATTCAACCCAATCAAGTAGTTACAATTCAACTGTGAACACAGGAAAACAAATAGTGGTTTTAGTACATAGAAACACGCTATTAGAATAAAAAGAAATCCTTACAGATAACTAGGTATTAAGAGGTATCATAATACAGGTTCCCAAAGACAATCTCTTTTAAACAATGAAGTGTAAAGTATTTCAGCTGTTACTTTCTATTGGGTGCTATTTTATCATTGAAGAACAAATAACAAAATAAGGTGATACATAGGGTATCTCAATTTTAAACAACTATCGGAACGGTATCGTTTACAAATTATACACACAAAAATGTATATGTATCAGTGAACACAACTAATTCTGGGAAAAAACCTTTCTGTATCGTGGTTTCTCGATTTAAAATACAATGCTTTGCTCCTCAAGGATAACACACAAAAACTTACAACCTCAAATAATAGTAATGAGGATAGACTGAGGTTACTACGAGGAAAAACAAGTCTTGGATTATATTACTACCGACCATGGTCAACATTCTATTGAGATACAACTAGTCATAATCACAACATATTCATCCGAAAACCTGGATGTGAAAAAACTGTTATTGAAAATGAACAGAAAGCCATATAAACTATGTTACTTTCACTAATATATTATATATATATATGCAGGGACAGGATGGTATGATAAGGACTGTAAATATTCGAACACGATAAACTTACTTTTCGACCAACATCCAGTTCATATGTATGAATAGAGTATATGTCGTGATTATCTAAGTAGGTAAAAATAGAACAAACGCAAAATATTAGATAAACAGTAATGATTATCAGAAATGAAGAAGTGAAGGCTGTTTCAGATAAACTACGTCATATTTATGTGACACTGTCAATATAACGAAAGGCAAAAACTATACAAGATGCATACATAAAACACCGCGGAAAGAATATAATGTTAACTTTGTTTGAAAAGAAAACCGACTCCATCAACCAATCAAACTTGCTCTACGTAACTTATTTGTATGATGTGATACATTTCATTTGTAACTCTTACTTACTTACTTACACCTGTTACCCCTCGTCGAGGAGCATAGGCCGCTCACCAGCATTCTCCATCCAACTCTGTCCTGACCCTTCCTTTCCAGTTCTTTCCAGTTAACATTCATCCTTTTCATATCTGCTTCTATTTCCCGGCGTAGTGTGTTCTTTGGCCTTCCTCTTTTCCGCTTCCCTTCCGGATTCCAAGTTAGGGATTGAGTCGTGATGCACATTGGTGATTTCCTTAATGTATGTCCGATCCACTTCCAACGACTTTTCCTAATTTCCTCTTTAGCTGGAAGCTGGTTTGTCCTCTCCCATAAAACGCTGTTGCTGATAGTATCCGGCCAGTGTATGTTGAGTACTTTCTGTGGACAAGTGTTTATAAATCCTTGTACCTTCTTGACGATGGATATAGTTCTCCACTTTTTAGCTCCTTACAGTGGGACTTTCTTGACGTTCGTATGGAAGATTTTCACTTTGAAGTTCGTTAACAGTTGTTTTGAGTTCCATATGTTCTTCCATTGTAGATTTGCTGCCCTTACTTTGCCAATCCTCGCCTTTACATCTGCATCAGATCCTCCTTGTTCTTCAATGATGCTTCCCAGGTACTTGAATGTGTCCACCTCTTCCAGAGTTTCGCCATCAAGTGTGATTGGGTTGGTGTTCTCCGTGTTGCATTTGAGAATCTTGCTTTTTCCTTTGTGAATGTGGAGGCCTATCGATGCGGAGGCTGCTGCTACATTTGCTGTCTTCATCTGCATTTGGTCGTGTGTATGAGAGAGGAGGGCTAGGTCATCTGCGAAGTCCAAATCATCTAATTGATTCTAAGAAGTCCATTGTATTCCGTATTTCCCGTCAGATGTTGAATTCTTCATAATCCAGTCAATCACCAGAAGGAAGAGGAATGGGGAGAGTAGACAGCCTTGTCTAACTCCTGTCCTTACTGGAAATGCATCTGTCAGCCGTCCTCCATGCACGACTTTGCACTGTAGTACATCGTATGAGTTTTGGATAATGTTGACAATCTTTTCAAGAGCTCCATAGTGTCGAATAAGTTTCCATAATGTTCTCCTATCCACGCTGTTAAACGCCTTCTCATAGTCAATGAAGTTGATGTATAGTGATGAGTTCCACTCGACTGATTGTTCAACGATGATCCGTAGTGTCGCAATTTGGTCTGTGCATGACCTATCCTTACGGAATCCAGCCTGTTGATCCCTAAGTTCGGCGTCTACTGCGTCTTTCATCCGATTCAGCAACACTCTGTTGAAAACTTTTCCTGGTACTGATAACAAACTGATGCCTCTGTAGTTTTCACATTTGCTCAGATCTCCTATCTTTGGTATCTTGATGAGATATCCTTCTCTCCAGTCCATTGGCACTTGTTCCTCTTCCCAAATCTTCTTGAATAGAAGGTGAAGCATGTTTGCAGTTGTTTCAATGTTCGACTTCAGTGCTTCTGCTGGTATATTGTCAGGTCCTGCCGCCTTCCCACTTTTGATTTGTTTGATGGCCATCTTGACTTCTTCGACCGTTGGTGGAGTGACATCTATTGGAAGGTCTGTGTGGGCTGCTTCGATGTTCGCTAGGTTCAATGGGGCTGGTCTGTTCAGCAGTTCCTCGAAGTATTCTGCCCATCTTTTCCTCTGTCCTTCAATATCCGTGATTGTCTTTCCTTCTTTGTCCTTGACTGGTCTCTCTGGTTTGCTATATCTTCCTCCGCCTGTATCTCTTCTAGAGTTACTGCCGGTCCCAAGCCCGGGTAGAGGAGGAGGGTTGGGCATGGGGTTAGCGAAACTATCCCGTAGAAAAGCTAACTCGCTAAAAAAACGCTAACCAGAAAATTTGTAACTCTACTATAGATAATTACCAAGACTAATGGTAACAGTAAATAAATTTCACTAAATCCAATTATGTAGAGGAAGGTTAACTTGATAACTTATGTTCCAAAATCGAAACTACCAAGTGAGTTGAAAATAATTACGGAAATTAATTTATTTAGAAGCATATGTGAACACGTTTTGTCATAGTGTGGCAAAGATCCAAGTAAAGTCAACAGATTGAACCATGTGTATACACCATATGTAAAGTACCATGGAACAATCATAGAATTAAAAGACTAGAAATAAGTAGCTATGTAATGAACAAACGCAAATGAGAGTAAAATAAGTAAACGTCAGTTAATTAAACATTAAATTATTGAGGTAAGAGAAGGAAACATATCCTTACGTGATTACCTTGTGACGAAAGTTCTTTTCTAACCCTCTAACATAACTCGATATTTGATTAACCGAGCTTTGTTGATTTTATTCTTATACATAATCATATATAAGGCGACTCGTTTGAATATCTGGGCTGCCTGTTTCGGACATCTGGATATTTCAACAAGCTATCTGTTGTCCTATTTGTTTTAACCCATCATTATGCCTGTTGGTCCTATAAACTATTCAGGCGCGTTTGTGAAAAGTTTATGACATTACACTGTACAAGTTACAAAAGAGCCCAATCAGAGACATAGTGATATATATACATTACTCAGATGTTGATTCCTGAACTGCTAACATCTAACTGACGACCACTTGATATTTATCACAAGGATCGATCAAGAAATAAAAAAGGCATGCCTAGAGTAGTATTGTCACTACTTAACTTGGGATAACACGTTAACTAAAGTCAACAATAACACTGAAAACATAACCTCAATGAAAGGAGAATCATGTAAAGTTTAATTCTATGACAGCTCGTCCCATATCCCATGTCCACCTAAATCTTATAAAACATTAAAACCTTTATAATGATTAAGCATAGATGGAAAAAGCTTTGTAGATCCGACTGAATTATAACTAAATAGATTGTTTCGTATTAAATGTCTTAAATTTTATTTTCAAGTTGAAGATAATGATTTTGTATAAATCAAATCACTTTTTACTTTGTATTTTCATTTACTTTTATGCCTATTCGTTTGTTTATCTTCCTTACTTAACTAGACTACTGTATACACAACAATGAAATATCTAATTTTGCATATTGAGTAACCTTTTATCCTGAAGTCGTCATTATAATATAACTGATCACAATTAATTAATGGTAGAGCATTCAAAACTGGATTTTTAAGCGCTTTACATACTTATTTGATAAGACAGTATTAATCTTAATATTTGATAAATAATGCTCATATTTCATACATTTGATAGTAATGCCATATCAAATAATCTGGTACTCAAGTGGTGTACTTTGGTCAAACAAGAAAATGGCACTAATACTGATAATTTATTATTGAAAACAGTTCACAATGTGAATAAAGGAGATTACTGTTTGTTAAATTAGATGTTTTTTGTCAGTATATAAATTACTCAGCGAAGTAAACTGAGAGCCAACGAATTAAACAGTTCAGCAAAAGTGGAGAAGAATGGTTTAAGAAAGTTTATTTACGCAATTAGCTGAGCAACTTTCAAAGAATAATGTAGGAACCTATTAATTTCCTTTACTGTCGACAAGTTCTTAGAATTTCTAGATAAATGAAAGACAACCATTGAGATACAGAAGATTGGATCAACTCCTGAACCAATCTGTCCTAGTTTTACATCTCAGTGGATGTATACGATCTATGCAGAAGGAAATCCACACAAGAAAATTTCCGAAGAACAGTCAAAGCATATTTTTAGCCTTAGTAATTGAAACAATGTTATATTACCTGATAGGTCACCAGTGGCGGCTGAAACTCCAATAAAATAGCCAGTAGGTAAACGTACTCCGTCAACTGTGAAACAATCTACAGGATCTGCAGCACCTTGATATTTTAAAGAAACCTGAAGATTGAAAAATCCCATTCGCAGTAAACAAACTTATCACATATGAAACATTTGAAATCCATTTAAAAAAGAATATAGTTGAAAATATACAACAATATCAAGTTTTCGGCACAAAAAAACATACATCAGTCACATAATGCGGTTGAATTTTAATTATAAGCAGGACTGTACGTATTTATCGAAACAGGATTATGGGGTTGTTGCTATACAGAATAACTACTAGGCAATTATACAGTGAAATTCGATCGATCTAATTACTACTGATCCGATTTGTGGTGAGCCTCAAAAAATAGGTCCAGCGGGATACCCTGTTACAAGCAAGATTCATTTAATTTACTAATTTTCTAGTATAATTATTAGTACTACTACAATTACTGAGTAACTAAAGTTTCTCAACCCTACTATTTTGAAATGTGACAACCCTGTTCATCCTGTTCATCTTTTTTTATTTCCGGTCTATTTAATACCCTGAATTTTTCTGACTATAAATTAATATAACCAATCGATGTAAACCGTCTTAGAGATAACGCTTTTAGTAGAGTCACAGTATACGTATCAAATGATCATGATTTAAAGGTACTGACATTTTAAACTCGTTCTAAGGCAGCTTTAAAGTGAATTCAAAAGAAACCAAGTTATTGGTGGAGCTTCATCATCTGAACTGGACAGTTCGCTCAGCCAAAATCATCTAACTGAGCTACGAAACCAAGTCAACAGCAAAACCTTATTCCAGTTGAAACTGTAACGACGATAACCATCAACAATCTGTATAACTTAATGTCATAATTGATTAACTGTATAGTTTATTCAAACGACAAAGTTAAAGAATTACTTTATTTCTTATCTAATATTTTTCAACGAATCTTCCCTAAGTAGAGACGTCAGTAGCATGAACCTGTGTCTCAATAAGAGTTATAGATCATATCTGTTTAAGAAGTGGAAGTTATTGTGAACAGTTAGCGCCAAAAACAACCCTTAGTGAATAAACGGTAGGTTCATGAGACGCAAATCCAAGATATTTTTAGTTTATGGCGAACCTATAATCAGTAAGTGACAACATGATATTAAACTACCTGTTTTATCAGTGAATGTAATATGGTAGGGTTGAGTTACCTAAGCTAGAAATCTAGTACCTGTGTCTACAGCAACTGATCTATTAAGTCCTATGGACGGAGGTAAAAAATTAAGACAACAAGACACCTAAGGTACACAATAGGAAGTTTTTTATCATAAAAGATTGGATAAAGAATGGAGAAGTAACTATTACTTGATTGAAGTTCTCTAAAGAACTGGTTGCTATTGAGTTTAATTGACACAAGTATAGATAATGGACTAAGTTTGCAATAATGTATTTAGTTATCATGACACATCTTGAGTGTGTTATTGGAGTCTACAATCAGTGTCAAAACTTAAAAATAAGCCATTCCTACTGTACTTATACACTTCTCTAGAAAAACATTTAAAAAAAACTTAAAATACTAACCTTCAACTGATTATTAGCGTAACGAATTGTGGCCATTGAGTAGTCATTATTACGAAAATTAGATGAACAACCAGATAGTTCAGTTAAAGTTCCATCCTTATCATGATCATAGCTTTTAGATCCATCGTTAATCATTGCACTGACATAAGGATGCTCATGACTATGCTCACCATTTTGATTAGCGTAAGTATCAAAGAAAACGGCTAACCCACGGAACTTATCTCTACTACCGAATGCTGGTCCTATGAATAAAAAGTTTAATTGGCGAAAGAACTATAAAATAACATACCACTTGAAGGAGGATGTTGAGTATACCAGAAAGCAAATCCATCACCAACCAGAGTTTTGGGACTATGAACATGGAACAAAATAACCACCTCCCAATCACGAGCAAATAAAGGTTTTATATTGAAAATACCTCCTTGACTACTTTTTACATCGGAAGTTAGGCGTACAAACTGAGGCTCAATAACCGTTGATCCATAAGGTACCCAATGAGCTGACAGAAAATTATATTATATAATATAACATATACATATATAAACGTTTAATTGGTGTAAATAGCAATAATGACTGAATGTAAGCAAATCACACTATTATTAACCTTATTGCTTCAAATTCAATACCGAAGAAAGGAAAACCTGATTTCCATTGAGATGACATGTAAACTACCTGGACCTTAAACGATAGAAACCGATGAAATCCGACAAAACCATGTATTCTGAAAAAAAGATACTACAACACACTTAGACAAGCACGGATGTATTCAATCATAGTATTACAGTGATTACAGTAACATCGTTCAAAACATAGGACACTGTCTTAGCTAAACCACAAGACTTTATGGAAGGTTAATAAAATAACTCATATACTTCGTTGACGACAACTTTCGAGATTATAGCCTTAGTAATAAGTTGGCAACAAATCTTCAACATGAAGACTAAGAAATGTGGTGACACAAATTAAACTAACTTGGGGGAGAATCTCATTAAAATCATGAACCGACTCAAGTTAGACCACCACTGAAAACCTGGAAGCACTGGACGGTTGTTTTGTTTCAGTATGAGGGGAAAAGTTGGAAAAATAAGGCTATTAAAATTTGTTACAGTAAACTGTGATAGGTAACGTAAACTTTTAAACTAACATGCAAGATCTAGTTAAGAATTCTGAGAGAACAACTCAGCTGGAAGATTTTTTGTAACGGAAGTCACATTTTACTACAATTGTTAGCAACTGCACTTTCTTGTATTTCGCAAATGAGTACAGATGTTTGAGAAAGTGGCTAATGATATGGAGCTGAAAAAGGCCCTTTGTCTCCGAAAAATTAATTCACTGAAATGTAACCAGCAATTTTATTTGGTTTCTACATATTGAGACAAATGTTTTAAACCTTCCTTAACTCTTGTGTTCTCTGTACCTGTTCTCTTATATAGAACTTTAAAGTGAAATAAGTGACCAAGTTGCATTGCTTTGACCTTTTCTGCTTTTTCATGTCATTCCAATGTCAATAACTACGGTTGACCAGTTTGATATCTTCCAGTAGTTTTTGTATTTCAAAAGTTCTCTAAGCCACTTCAGGCTTTGCTACTCTAGTTACGCAATGATAGAAACGTACAATAATGTATCACGTGCAAAAGCACTATACATTCGACTACCAATAAAGAAATTAGAGACATGAAACTTTTGGTGAATAAACAGAAAGACAAACAATCATGCACTACTCAGATGCTTGGAATTTAAGTGCGGAAGAGTGAACTAATTTGTACCACAATTATAGATTTTTAGTTTCATCATCTGAAGTTTATAGCTATTTTTAGTATTTGAAAAGTTTGTAGAAACCTAATTTTGATAAACCGTTTACGTCCAATTGATATAGTTACGGATTCTATGTAAATATTTGATTTATTTAGCCGAGATGAACTCAACAACCCTAAGAACTAGTCTTGTTCTTGTCTATTTGGGTTCACAACATTCTTTTTGGATTGTTGGGACAGTGTGTCAACGTCTGAGATGGATCAAAGAAAAACAGAAAGTGGCATATATACCTGCATTTTGTTCTAGTTCTTAGTTTTCTGATAAAGAACAGAGTGTGAACCAAGTTAATCGGCAAGACTATGACTTATAGACGACTTCTCAATGATAGTAGAGTGGCCCTGATAAACCATAACCACTGAGTGGGGCCAAAATATAATTACAAATAATTGAGGAATGATATGTATGCCCTCAATTGAGGAATGAGTTAGAAATTTGGATTACGAGGTAGATTTGAGGTTTTCACCAAAAATTGACATAACCAATAATCTCAAAATCCTATTTAGACAAATGGATGAACAAATTTCGCACACAAAACGTAGCAGTTGCAACCTGAAATCTGATTGGTCTACTCTTAAATTATAGTACCTACATTAGTAGGGATGCCCGATGTTCGACTTGAATCTACATATATGTTGTAATAACATCGATCGCTCTATTTTGAATGTACATATTTTCGAATAACTAGTTCTAAGATATGTCGGAGGGAAATGTTACAGTATCGGACAGCTGATGCTGAAAACTTTGATGTACCAAAATCATGCTAAGTAATGAAATCGCTTTATTTAAACTCATAACCGTAAGATGTTAACGATTGAATGAATCTATTTGCAAGAGCACGTAAACACCTTCATTCTTTGTTTGTGTATGAACACAAGTTGTAAATGTTTTTCTCATTTGTTCGGACTTTTGTAGTGACGTCTTTATTGTCTGATCATTTTGTCAGTTTGTTTCTTTACACTAACAAGAAATGGAACATTTTAATAAGCTTGACTACAAGATACAAGTGACCGGTCCTCAATGCCTCCTTTGTCACGGCTTTTATTTCTGCTCTATTGCCGCTGGATTAAATTGCCGTGAGCGTTTACAGCTCCGATACATAAAGACGGTGTTCAATTAGCAGGTCTGAATGTCTACTAGCCTGACCTAACTATAAAAGTGATCAATATGTCTCAATGATCTAGCAACTACTGAGATTTTGCAATATTAAACCCGTTCCAGGTCGAAAAGTTAGCTTAGGCAACGAAAATATTTATTTCCAGAGTCATCAATCGAAACGGCTTGGGACGTATTCCGGAATTTATACTTAAAAGTTACCACCCCCCACATCCCTTGGACTACACCTAAGAGACCGAGAAACTCCCCACCGTGGTTCAGTAGGGAGGTTCGCATCCTTCTCCGTAAAAGAAGGAAAATGTGGGACAGATTTAGGTTACTGGGGACTGACGAGGCGAAATCTCAGTATCAAAAGGCTCGAAATACCTGTGCCTCGACCCTCCGTAAGGCCAGAAAGCTGTACGAAGAGAAAATCGTTAGGGAATCCATAGAATGCCCTAAACGCTTGTATTCGTATATAAACCAAAGGACAAAAAGAAGAAGAAATGTTCCTTCACTATGGGGAGACAGTACTGCCACATCACTAGTGGAGGATGACTTTGGCAAAGCTCAAGTATTCTCTAAATACTTCAGCGATGTATACACCATAGAAACACCCTTCTCACCAGTCCATGAAAATCCACCCACACAAGCACTGGACAGCGTAACCATTAAAGAACTCGATGTCTTTGGTCTGCTAGTTAAGCTTGACATAGGTAAATCCACTGGATCCGATGAACTGCATCCTAGGTTATTAAAGGAATTAGCTAACTTTGTTGCGAACCCTTTAAGTGTATGTTTTAATCTATCCGTAACCCACAGTCGTCTACCAAAAGACTGGAAGAACGCCATAGTAAGTCTAGTCTTCAAAACAGGTACAAAACATAAGCCTGAGAATTACCGACCAATTAGCCTAACTAGTGTGGTTGTTAAAATCTTAGAAAAGATTATTCGGAAGGAACTGTTAAAGTATCTCGATGAAAACCGGATCCTCTCCGAAAAGCAGCATGGTTTTAGAACAGGTTACTCTTGTTTCACAAACTTATTAGTCGCTCGTGAAAGCTGGTGCGCTCTTAAGGACCAAAAATTACCTATAGACGTAGCTTACATCGATTTCAGCAAAGCTTTCGACAAAGTTCCGCATAACCGGCTGTTATATAAGCTAAGGAATGTCGGGATTGGAGGCAATCTATTGATGTGGATATAAGACTCACTAGTTGGGCGTCAACAAAGAGTAAGGGTGAACTCCAAGTTGTCTAGCTGGGAAACTGTGCTTAGTGGAGTCCCCCAGGGTACAGTTTTGGGGCCAGTGTTATTCCTCTTGTACGTAAATGACCTCCCTCATCTACTATCATCATCGGTCTTACTCCATGCTGATGATGTCAAAATACGGAGAGCGATACAAAGCAAGGGCGATAGCTTAGAACTTCAAAATGACCTGGAGAGATTATCTGAATGGTCCCAAACCTGGCAATTGCCGATAAACACTTCCAAGTGTATTGTGATGCATATTGGCCATCAGGGTACAGATACATACACGATGAATAACACTGAGTTACCTATCGTTCAGGCACACGACTTAGGCGTCATCGTCAGTCAAGACTTAAAGACTACTGCACACTGCCGTGCAATAGCCGCCAAAGGTTTTAGGGCTTTATGGTCCATACGCAGGGCTTTTAGGCATCTTGACGCTAAAACGTTTTTGACTTTGTATACAGTGTTCGTACGCCTTAAACTTGAGTACTGTATACAAGCAGCTAACCCCTGCCTAAAAAAAGACAGTGAACTCTTGGAAAGGGTTCAGAGAACAGCAACTAGGCTGATTCCCGGAATAGCGAAGCTCCCGTATGGTACTAGACTGACCAAGCTAAACCTATTCCCGCTGTCATATAGAAGAATCAGAGGTGACTTGATTATAGTTTTCAAATTGCTAAATGACAAATTTGCACCTGATATGCCCTCATTTTTCTTGTCTTCCAAAACAGAAAATCTACGAGGACACTCCAAAAAAGTTCACAAGCCCAGAACGAATTACTTGTCAGCTGACTACCGACTTTCCCATCGAATAATCAACGAGTGGAATTCATTACCTCAGCACGTGGTTGAGGCTCCATCCGTCGACTCCTTCGAAAGAAAGTTGGATCAGCTGAGAGACCATCATTGCCAGGACTAACACAGGCCATCAAGCCATCAAGTCCTTTCCAAACTGAAACTGAAACTGATATATTAAACCACGCCAACATGGTTACGGAGTAGGAATATATTTCAAGTATTGAAAAGAGACTAAATCGAACGACGCTTGAACTGTATCGGAACACAAAAAACAAGCAAAAATGAAATTAGTCGATTTATACAAACTCGTGACAAATGCTGGATATTGAAATCCGTAATAACCCACATGGGGATGAGACCAAACTTTGAATCAATACTGAACTTACGACTTGAGTATGGAGGAACGAGAGAGTTATCTCTGACGTGATAAGACGAATGTACTATTTCGAAAAACGACAAACAAAGAAGGAACACTAACATTCCAAATACTTGAATGGGCTGTCAAACTATTATTACGCGCTAAGTAATATTCCTGATTAAAACAAATAAATACAACTTCTCATTTCGTACAGAGAAAAGGCTCTGACACTTTGTTTACATAAATATTTCATAGAGTTTTTATGGTAATTTAGTATGGTTGATCTTATGTTCACCGTTTTCATGAGAACTGGTCATGGTCAAGGTAATGTATATGTTAGTATGTTTTAGGGATCAAATAGTGGGTGGAAATTCCGTGAGTTTGCTACTTTTCATTGAATATGAAACCGGAAAGTGTGTCTTTCGAGCCATTTCAAACTACCTGAAAGCAGGAGAGAGGGTTTAACAAGTTCACAAAAGTTTCACAGAATCTGATACTTCAATCAGGTCTGGGGTAGGTTAATCCAAAGACACCATAGCTGTAAATAATTCTCCAAAATCAAAAGCTCTGTAAGTGTTCGACATTAGATGCTGACCACATTAGTTTTAGTGGACTCGTTTAGCTGAAGGAGCTCGGACATGCATCCGTGCCAGATCACGTTACAGAACAGCGTGGGAAGCATCTCCCATTATCATTAGCCGGATTAGATCAGTCATTTATTGATATATTGATAACCCATCACATGTACCTTACAACCTCCTCGATTCTGACTTTTGATTTAACTGGGTGGGCGCGATTCGATTATCGAAGGTGTTAATGGTAGAGTTGTAGTGGATGTCGAGTCGTGGACGGACTATGATCACCACTACTATTCGATTACGCGTACAAATATGACTTGGTTCCCTTGATAGCCCGTAAACCAGAAGGCTTTACTAGTCCAGATAAAGTATATTTATTGGCGATCTCGTGGTATCGAAATAATACCGAGACGTGCCAAAGAGTACAGGCGAACAGGCAGTGCGTGAGCAAGCTCGAACCAAACCAGGCGGTATATGGAACAAGAAGTGAAACGGATACAGTTAAACAAATACAGTAAAACAATCTCTGGTACAATTGGTTACAATAATAATAATTGTTTCTATTATTCCAATCGTGTTCTTATCGAGACTGGCCGGTCACTACAGGAGCCCCCCGCTAGAAAGGATTTACACTTTCGATACGTAGCGGTTTCATTCGTGGGACTGATCGCGAAACGTGCAATTGTAGGACGAAAACGTTGGCAGAACAGGGAGTGATCGTTGATCCTCGAGTTGCCACCAAAAGTCTTTGACGTAGAACGGTACCAGAAGGAACGTACTGTATTGATTGCTTGGATTAGCATGCTACACCAGAGTGGTTTGTATCCAGAATCTGAAGGTTGCGTTCGTACAGGTCCGGACCAGAAACGCTGCAGACGTAGGACGAAGCCAGATTGAGCCAAGGAACCAGATGCGACCAGGATAACCATGTTCGGGACCAAATGTATACCATACGTATTTGGAGCCAGAGAGGTCGACTGAGTGCGTTGACTAGAGCGTGGGTGATCAGGCCAGCTTTCGCCAAAGTTTACTGAAGTCGACGATACCGGAACAGCGATGGTCGAAGGCGTAGGCTCGGAGTAAACACACAAAAAAATGATAGAAAAAGAGAAAAGTGTAGCTTTCTTGTAGTATAGGGGTAGATTCCTATACTGTATCCGTAGTTGGTTATGAGGTTAGTCGAGAAAGCGTACGGGTAGGCGTACTCGGCGACCAGAACGTGAGACGGTAGTCTCGTTCGAACCTCGTGAGCCTGCAATCTCATCCGCAGTCAAGGGCGGTGTGGTCTGTAGGTCTGGACGTGAGACGGAAGTCTCGTCCGTAGACGGGGCAGATGACACGTGCTGTTGGCTGGGACGTGAGAATGAGGTCTCAGGTGCATCTAGCGTGGGATCCGAAGTAGATGTAGAAATCCCGCTAGAAGCTCTGATGGGTCTAACATTGGGTCTCGGCTTATCAGGTATAGCACTGTCATCGACGTGTGCTGGCTTGAGACGATCAATGCTGACTGTTTCGATGCGACCACGTCGATCAACCTTGAAGGTCTTTTCGTGACGAGAAATCACGTGAAAAGGTCCTTCGTAAGGCTGTTGTAGAGGTTTGCGTACCGAATCTACTCGTATGAAAACATGTGAACAGGTAGATAACTCTCGAGGAAGAGCGACCTGTCGATGTTGTATACGAGTTGACACCGGAGTCAGTGTTCGCATGAATGCAGACAGTCGTTGGACGTAGTCTGATTCGCCGAACTTAGTGCTGCTCCGTGGTGTGAAAAATTCCCCAAACAGACGCAATGTCGTGCCGTAAACAAGTTCAGCGGCGGAACATTGAATATCTGCCTTTAAACTCGTTCTGATTCCCAGGAGGACGAGCGGCAGGGTTTCGTACCAATTGTTGTTTTCGTGTGCTCGAAGAGCACTTTTAAGTTGGCGATGAAACCGTTCAACTAAACCGTTTGATGCTGGATGGTAGGCGGTAGTGCGTATGCGTTCCGTACCAAGCAGCCGTGTTAGTGAGGAGAATAATGCGGACTCAAATTGTTGTCCTCGGTCAGTCGTGACAGTCGAGGGACAACCGTACAGAGCTATCCATCGTTCTACGAAGCGGTGAGCAACTGTCTCCGCCGTAATAGACGTGATGGGAATAGCTTCGGGCCATCTTGTGAAACGATCAATGCACGTGAGTATGTGATCATACCCGTGCGATGGTGGTAATGGTCCTACAATGTCTATGTGAACGTGATCGAAGCGAGCATCAGGCGTAGTGAAAGTGCCAATAGGGGCAGCTACGTGCCTGTGCACTTTTGATCGTTGACATTGTAAACATTGTTTTACCCACATACGGACATCTTTATTCATGGACGGCCAGACGTATCGTGCAGCGATGAGGCGTAAAGTGGCTGCGATACCAGGATGAGATAAACCATGAAGGGCATCAAAGACGAGACGGCGATAAGCGGAGGGTACGATGGGTCGAGGGAGGCCCGTGGAAGTATCGCATAGGATAGTACCAGAGCTAGTAGCTAGGGGTACTTCCCGGCATTGAAGGGACGTAGACTGTTGTGCTTCCGTGCATGAAGTATCGTTTGCTTGGGCGGCGGCCATAGCAGGTAGATCGAGCACTGGCAAAGTAACTGCATTCAGTTGGATACGTGATAAAGCATCAGCAACACAGTTCGACTCGCCTTTGACGTGGCGAAGGTCTGTCGTGAACTGGGAGATATAGTCCAAATGTCTGCACTCTCGTGGTGAGTAGCGGTCAGACTTGGTATGCAGAGCATACGTTAAGGGCTTATGGTCGGTGAATAAGATGAAATTACGACCTTCTACAGCGTGCCGGAAATGTTTGATGGCGCAGTAGGCTGCTAGCAGTTCGCGACCAAAAGCGCTATATCTCGTCTCCGTGGGAGTGAGGCGTCGTGAGAAAAATTCGAGGGGCTGCCAACTACCGGAGATATTCTGTTGCATAACGGCTCCTAAGGCGAAATCCGATGCATCAACCGCTATACTAAGCGTGGCTGATGGGTCAGGATGCACGAGAAGTGTGGCTTGAGCTAGGGCCGTTTTGATATCTGAAAATGCAGTACGTGCGGCGTCGTTCCATTCCAGTTTGCGTGGATTACCGCGAAGTAAATCGGTTAACGGTCGTAACTGTTCTGCCGCGTGCGAAATGAAGCGTCGGTAGAAGTTGACCAAACCGAGAAATGCCTTCAGTTCCTTGAGTGTGGACGGTTTAGTGTACTCCATTATAGTACGTACTTTATCCTCACAAGGTAGAATACCCTCATGCTTAATAACATGACCTAAGAATTTTATTTCCTTCTTCCCGAGTTCACACTTGTCGGGGTTGACTATTATTCCATTATCCGAAAGGCGCTGGAATAGTAGCGTCAGGTGTTGATAATGTTCATCTACGTTTGATGATGCGATTAGCAGGTCATCAATATAGACGTGAACAAAATCTAGGTCTCGTACAATGCTATCGATAAACCTTTGGAAAGTTTGAGCAGCATTCCGTAATCCAAATGGCATTCGTAGGAACTCAAATAAACCGAAAGGAGTCGTGATGGCAGTTTTCTCTATATCTTCAAGAGCGACTGGGATCTGATGATATGCTCGTACCAGATCGATCTTGGAAAAAATTGTCGTGCCCTTGAGTGATGCCGTGATGTCATGTATGTGGGGGATGGGATAGCTATCGAAACGTGTAGCTGTGTTTAACGCTCGGTAGTCTCCGCATGGTCTCCAACTAACCCCATCCTTCTTTCGAACCATGTGGAGAGGTGAGGCCCAAGGACTGTGAGAAGGACGAATAATACCAGTAGCTAGTAAATTGTCGAACTCACGTTTAGCGAAAGCTAATTTGTCCGGTGCCAGTCGGCGAGGTCTTGCCGTGACTGGTGGTCCGCGAGTGACTATGTGGTGTACCACACGATTGGTCACCGATGGAGTCTCCTCGAGAGGTTTAGTTAATGTGGGGAATTTCTGAAATAAAACGTGGAATAAATCGTCACGCGAATGAAATACACCTGTGATTCGGTACGCGTTTGTGTGGGCTTTAGAGCCCATAAAGTTGCTGTTCGACGAAATATCAATTAGCTGCAGCCTACGTGAATCGACTAGCAATTCATAGTGCTGTAGGAAATCGATACCGAGTATAGCTGTGGGAACATCGGCAATGATGAACGTCCACAGATACTGTCGTCGGTTGCTCAGGTTGACCGTAAGTTGTCGTGTACCATAGGTGGGAATGACTGAGCCATTCGCAGCGCGTAGTCGAAGCATAGTGGCTTGAGACTTACTGTTACCGATAGGTACGACAGAAACTTGGGCACCCGTATCCACAAGGTACCTAGCGTTGGTGCGATAATCGTGCACATAAAATAAACGGCCAACCTGAGGTGAAGTGCCGGCGAGTACGGCCGCATTTACTCGCCGGCTGAGAAGTTTCCCGCCTTGTATGAGCAGGGAGCTCGACAATGACGGGCACCGGCTCCGAAAGCACGGTGGAACCAGCACCAACCTGGACTCGCTTCCGAAACCGCCTTCTGGCGTGGCTTGGAAGATGCCCGCTTGGGGCGAGTCGTTACGGCTTTTC